TTGAAGACAATGATGATATGCTCTTTTGTAGCAAATGTGCAGGCTGGGTACACAATATCTGCACAAACTTATCAGTATACCAACTTTACAGTCTTGTCAATTCAAACAGAAAATTTACCTGTAAAAGATGCATTAAAGTTACAAACGATTTTATGGATAGACTCACTTTTTGTACAAGTACTCCTAAGAAAATATGTACTGAAAAAGCATGCCAAACAGTAAAAAATCACAGAACAAATATTATTTTACAAGACAAAGTACTACAATATGATTTTTTCACTGATTGTGATAAAACATATCTTAGCATACATGGTCAACCAAAAAGAAAATTCTTGACAGCTGACTTAGTTCATCTTAGCTATGAAGGCACAAATGTATTTGTGAGCAATATTAAGTATGGTATCAAAAAAAGCTTTAAATATCTTCGGTATAAGGGAAGACCAGAAAGCATTTACAAGCAGACCCCGGGGAGGTACAGCTTAACCGTTTTTTAGAAGAAATTATAACAATGAGTACCCTGAATACATGTATGGAAGACAACAGGGTGGTTACATGAGAGGTTATGGCCAATTTAATGGCGACGGCCCATAGGCACAGATAAATTTTTCTGATTCAGTGGACTAATATTAATGCATTCAAAAATAAATTATTTGTAAAGGAGCAGATTATTTTATATTATAATGACACATGAGCCTTACAGAATGTGTTAAAAAATCACTTACTTAGGAGGACAGTGCATCAGGTACATTTTCATATGCCAAAGAGGATTTAAATAAAAGGGGCATGAAAGCATATTTAAGCTGAAGACAGTGCTCCGAGAAAAAAACCAAATATTACTACTATTTTAAATTTATTTAATCTAACAGTGAGGCCAATACTTTTATAAGGATCAGATACTTTGGGATACAAATCATCCAAACAATTTAAAACTGACCCTAGACACTTTATTATAAAAGAAATTGACATCAATCTCAGTTGAAAAAGTACAAATTTTGCACTTGGTGTTAAAAATAAATCATCCAACTTCGCCAGTAGAGGTGCACTAGGACGTAATCCAATCAGTATATATGTTTTTTTTAACACGGTTAAATATTGGTGTTATCTAAAAAATATTTGAGATAAAAACAGTATATTATATAAAGCTTTTTACGAGTCTATTATAATGGATTCAGAAAATAAAGGATCCTATATTAGTAAACTAGAAAACTTTTGTCTTATCTGAAACTTGATTATTTATTCCATATGCCTAGTTCATCTAGTTATATTATAACAAAAGTAAAAAGTTCTCTAAAAACTATATTTAACCAAATTCAAAAAGGCTTTTTAATGATAAAACAAAACATTCCAAAGTTGGCAACAAGTTTAGAACATATCGTAAATTAAAAAAACGTTTTCAAATTAGAACAAAAAATATTTAAATTGTCAATATAGCGAAACTATAAACAACTGTCATACAAGTGGTAGATTTAGCTAGCTATACAAAGGGGTTTAAGCCATCATTTTCTTCGGAAAATGCCTGTACTAAGTCATTGATAGCGTTTCATTTTGTAGTTGTTACTTCCCCTTTTTGAATTTTGCATTGGAATCGGTATTTTTGTTATACTTTTTTAGAAGCAAAAAGATCAATAAACATAACCGATTAGATCCAAAACTGGTTAAATTGTGATGATGAAACTGGATACAGTGATCCTTTTTGTTAAAAAAAATATTTTGCGATCTGTAGTTTTATCTTTCGATACACCCAAACACAATTTCGTCATACAAGCGGTACCAATGATTTTATGATACACATTTGAAATGTGGAATGTGAAATTTGACATCCAGTTTTCAATTTCACTAGAACACACCCGCGAAATCGCGGGCATTTAGAGCGTGTTTGCAAGTATGTAAACTGTTGCAGGATGAATTTTTGTAAAAGATTTTATGTGTTTAAGATTACACAGAGTTTTGGTAAATTTACAAACAACCCTTAATTCCTAACTTGATTACATACAATGTTTTGGGTACCTGAGCTACAGGAACCGGTATCAAACATTCCTTCGGTCCCTGGAAGCGATAAAAATCCGATTTCTTGGGACCCCTGGAACCGGTATATATAATAATGTTTTTATTTAAGAGATAATTCATGCAATCCATAGATTTGTTGAAAATTTTCACATGGCCTGGGTCGTTACATTGGAATTTTATCCCGGGCGTAAGAAAGGGATGAAATTAACGAATATAACGAACCAGGCCATGTGAATATGAAAACAAATCTATGGAATGTTTGACTTATTTTGATGTTTGTTAATTTACCAAAATTCTGTGTAATTTTAAACAGTCCTAAATGGAAGTCTTGTCTATGACTTAAAAGTCCGTCCGATGACGGAAACAATATTCGGACGCCTTTATTTTTGTTTTGCTTCCAAAATAACCCAAATGGAATAGCCATAAGTGAGGATGACAAATGGGACTATGCATGGTACCTTTAGGACACAGAAGCATGATGACTAATTTATTGTGGAAAGAAGAGAAGCGACACACAAAATGATGTCTCCTCATTTAATAGTTTACATTACTTAATTTATATAAAATATTTGAAATTGACTATATCTTTGTCGAGTTCAAAAACAAGTTTCACCTTAAATTCTGTGTTATAGTTGTGTCCTTGAAAATTGCAAAGCACAACAACTCTGTAGTAGGCATTTGGTGATTTCTTTATTGATATGTAGGAAAAAGCACAGAGAAGTAGTAAAGCAAAAATAGATATTCAAAATTAGCATGCTTTTTTCAAAAAATATTTGAAAGAAAATTTATTTGATTGACATTTAAAAATAAATCCCTGCCAAAGGAAACTTTTCAACACTGGTTTATATGCAAAAGTTCTTCGAGTAATCTACTTTTCAGATAAAAAATACAAGAATTATAAAAAAAACGTGAACTAAAAATGACATTTCAGCATCTTTTGTAAATTTCATAAACGAATACTGAAAAGCTTTGTATTTTTTAAACAGGGGAGCAACTGTCTTTACATCGATTAAATAAAAGGAATTGAATTCCAATTTTGGATGTTGAATTTATGACAGGATATACTACCGCACCTGTTCTCACTATGTTTTGGTTTATGTGAATCGATTATTATTTTACTCCATGGACATGTCTGTTATACATCCGGATATTGGAATATAACCGAAATTCGTATTGTATGTGGTATATTACTTATATATTTCGCTAGGCATTCGAGATTTTTTTAATTTAAAGACACCCTGTAAAATGTAAAAAATACATTTAAACTGACTTATAGTAAATTTTAGTTGTAATCATAAGCAGTAATATAGAAGTAAACACTAGTGGGAATAACGTTTGATAAGATTGTAAGTATACTTTCTTTTTTCACTTTACACTTCTAAAATTGATAATTTGTATGTGGTATTCTACAGCAGTTTGAACATTTTTTGACCAGTTGAACACTTTGTTTTAATGAAACAAATGAGAATTCGGTCATGATTGTGAATTAACTGCAATAGTTGGAGAGAAATAACTATGATCAAGTCACATAAATATGACTATGATACTTATGAGGACATGCCTATCACTATTGATAACATTGTATAATGTGAAGTTTATATTTCTCAAGGCTGAATATTTTTTTAACTAGATAGATTCACCTTAAATTGGAGTGTAATAACGTTAACGGTATCAATTTTGCTGATTCTAAAATTTATTGTTTTTCCTTTTATTCATATAAAAAATGTTTTATGGCATGTCAAGTCTAAACTGACCAAGCCTTGTAAAACTTGGATGAAAAATGAATAAAAAATGTGTTGGTGTATATGATAGACAAGTAATATAGCTGTAAACTGAGACTATTTGAAATTTAGAATTGTAAATCATCTTACTCAGAAATCAACAGAAGTAATAATACCCGGTAAGATGATTCTTTTCAACTTAATAACAGAAATGTTTATTCCTTATTGGTATAAAGTTCAATAGTTACCAAGACAGGGCTTGCTTGTGAAATATTTCTACATGAAGGGATGCAAAAGTCTATAAGAATAAGGTATCCTCCAATTATATCACAATGTAAAAATTAAATAAAAAATAAAAAAAGTTAAGTTATCATTGATTTAAAGGGGCATTAGTTACGAGATATAAAAAAAAAATAGAATATGATTTTTTCTGGTTCAATCATTAATGAAAGTGAAATAGTGAAATAAATATTCGCTTTTAGCAGCCAGTTTAGTTCAATTTTGTCAAAATGAGCTAAGAAACATCGCTGATTAATTATTCACTTGCAAGTGAATAATTTGATCTCATTGAAACCGTATTCATGTGACCTTCTATTTAACCCCTTAGCTAGAGATGGGTTACGCACGAACTAGGCGTATGAAATCAAACAGACCTAGAAAATCCAGTTGCACGTGTTCGTTATCTATTTATATATATATAAGAAGATGTGGTGTGAGTGCCAATGAGACAACTCTACATCCAAGTAAAAATTTAAAAAAGTAAACCATTATAGGTCAAAGTACGGTCTTCAACACGGAGCCTTGGCTCACACCGAACAGCAAGCTATAAAGGACCCTGAAAATTACTAGTGTAAACCATTCAAACGGGAAAACCAACGTTCTATTCTATATAAAAAACGACAAACGAGAAACACTTATGAACCACATCAACAAACGACAACTACTGAACATCAGATTCCTATATGTATATTTATGTCTATATCGGGTTATATGACCGTCGACAGTCTTCAGAGGTCACCTCGATGGTTAATCAGATGGCATCTAGACTAAAATACACACGAAATGCTGATACAAAGTATCGAGTGCATGCATTGTTAATTGTTAATTTTAGACTTTTTGTAAGTTTGATATACGTTTTAGTATGTTATAAATCATATATGAGAATTTGAGTCGAATCGTTGAACATGAATTTGACATCTAATGCCCCTTTACAATCGTTAATATTTTGTAGTACGAGACTTTTTTATTCTTAATTATTCAATGATAGCTTACTTTTACAAATGGCGCTTGCCTCATCACTTCCATCGGAACAGTCCCTATTTCCATCGCATTTTCTACTGTTAGGGATACATTTCCTACCATTATTACATTTAAACTGATTGGTTTTACATTTCAGAGGACCTGAATATATAACATATTAATTACTAGTCAACAAATTTAACGATACACAAGTTTGAACGTCAATTTATCATAAAATATAATAAATAGGAAAAACTGTTAAATTATCCAATGCAAAACATTGCAAAGCAAATGCATATGATTAAAAGAATCTGACCAAATTGGAAAGTGAGAAAATATCGTGTTATTGAACACAGGGGTCAAATTCTTTTTGCGGCAAATGATGACAAAAGTCGGCACTTAATTTCGAAGATGAGAATTAAATTTTCAAATACCTGCAAATGCATTCAAAATTTTAAGCAGACCATGTTTAAGTTTAAAGTTTTAAGTTCTAATATCGATTTTTGAATTATTGAGTGAAAATACAATTATTGAAATAACAAAAATGCAAAAAAAAAATTGCGTATTTGCCTTAAATCAATGGTGTTGATAAGAAAATAACACCATATTAGACCAATTGGGCAATTATTTACCTTGGTACAGTGTATCCAATTTCATCATATATGGAAACTACATTGCCTTGTATCGTTTCTTTTGTTGACTAGTATATTATTTACATCTTTTTGAATTCAGTTAGTCTAACAGTAGGACTTTAATTTGACAAAAGATTCTAATAACTTTTCACAATTCCACATATCAATAACAATAGCAAAACATGTTTTGGTTGTGTTTAAAAGTAGCCAATATTGCAATAATTAAATAACAATTTTACTGTCAAATATAAGTAACTTTCAACTGTATGTAATTTGGAGGTGTACATGATTTACCATATACAACACATAGTCCACTAGTTGATTATTATCGTCTCAGCACTCCAAAAGAAGGTTATAGCTGTTTCAAGTGTAACGCATTCCTTGGATGTAGTAGTTCAAGTAGTTGACTACAATATCACTGCTATTGATATCTTTGATTTCACCCAGTAAGTTTTTAATGTACATAGTTAATGTTTGGGCTCTCTGAAAGGTCTCATTTAAAGTCTACCGACAGTTATCTTAAATTCCAAACATTATAAAATATATACTTAGAATATGAAAAAGTTTTACAATTAAAACTAATGGAAACTTTAGAATTCTTGTTTTTTTCCAGGTAGTTGATAACAATTGAGGCAATAAACAAATTTCTAGAATTACACATAAAGTCTTATTATGTTACCTTGACAGTAAATATTGTGCAGTTCCATTATTTCAATAACACTTGCTTAAATTATATGATACTTACAGCTAGGGTCTAATTCGTCACTGTTATCGGAACAATCTTTAGCTCCGTCACACTTCTTTGCTAGAGGAATGCATTTTTTACCATTCTTGCATTTAAACTCACTTGATTTACATTGGACAGTACCACCTATAAGGAGTTTTATTTTATTTCGATGTAGTTTGCTGGTCAATCTAAATCAATACTAGTCAGTATAACTTGCAAGTGGTGGTATTATTTTATAAGCTTACTGAACGCAGAATAAAATGTGTAATGCATCCCTCAAATTTGCAGTTGGTCAGGGTTCTAAAATGATGATTGAATATTTTCCTACTTTCGCAGAACGTATTATTTGTAATGCTCTATTAAAAATTAGGTATGTGTTGTTTACCATATTGTTAATCTACAGGATATGAAAAACTCGTTGTGTGCAAGGGATTACCAAGATAAAAACCGTATATGTTTAGAAAAAAGAAAGAAAATTATATGAAATAATTTTGAATTAAAAGTTGAGTGAGTACCTTTAATTGAATATTTTAAGGAAATAAGATTTATCTAAAAACGAAGTTACTAATGTCATTTTCTAACTCCACAGCAAAATAGATTTTTGATATAAAATTTTGAATCTACGAGAAAATGAAATATAAAAATCTCTATCTGCGTAAAAAATAACAGATTAAACACTATATGTCTTAAGATAATCTGCCAATTTATTCAAATCAACTGCATTTTTTAATCTTTGCAACTGTCTTGGCAATCCTATATACCTGTTTATAAAGGCAATTTACAGGTTTTTGAATCTTAAACATTCTGTTGTTTTAATTTTGTCATTTAATATCACATGATGGAGGCAATAGCAACATTTAGGTTTTAATCACTATAACAAAAATTGTGACTGTTTGTCCATTCTTTTTCATTACTTGCCTATCTATTCAATTCCTTATATTTGCTATATGTCGCCCTGTCGTTACTTTTGAACTTGGAGTATTTCGATTAGATAAGGTGATTTTTAACATTTCCATCAATGTGTCATATCAAAAAAATATTTTAAAAAATAGGTCTGATCGGATGATTTGCGAATTTAGGAAATAATAGCCTACAAATTGTTCAGTAGTTTTACGAACGACATCCAAAATACGATCAGACAATGATAAGACTTACAATTTTCTTCATCGCTACCATCTTTGCAGTCTTCCTTCCCATCACAACGTTTTGATTTCGGTATGCATTTAAGATTACTGACACACTGGAATCTATTTTTATTGCACGCTACAAGATATATATACAATATATATTATAAGTACGTCCATACAAGTGACAACTCTACGACAGATCCATCACTGGATCACCAGTGAAGGTGATACACGGCTGAAAACACATATTATATTCATATAATTACTTCAAATATCAGCACAACAATGTTAAATATGCAAATTTGCGGAAGCAAATTTTTTTTACTTCCCTCGCCGGGATTCGAACTCGATATCTCAATAGCATGAGTTCGAATCCCGGCGAGGGAAGAACAAAATTTTTTTGACATTACCGAAAGGGATCAAAATGAGTAACACAATGGAAAAAATCCCATCTAAATCGGATGAAAAATAAAATAAAAGTCGACTGAGAATGCGCGAAAGCGTAGAAAACACGATTCGACAACATTTGTACGTCATATCACAATTATTTTCGACTTTGTATGGTTTCAGAGGAGTTGCGGCTTAATTGAATCGGTCTTTTCCTTTAGTAGTATATATAATAAAAAATTGGGACACTTAAAGTAGAAAAGAGAGAGAGATATTAAGGTTGCATCAGCTACGTACTCTTGAACCAGATGAACTGAATAAAAGAGAGAGAAAAAAAAACAGTTTTGTCAAAACCAAAAGGAGAATAAATCTTGAATTTCATTCTGTTTAACTAACTTTTTTATCTATTAAACGCAATGTACAATAAGCTGTAAAAATATATGTAAAGGACATGTACGATAAGCTGCAACAATTTCTTAACAACATTCGATTTTACATGGATGGCTGCACGCGCCTAATGAAGCTCATTTGTTAAGCGAAATATTGCATGAATGTATAAAATATAACAACTTTTTTATTACACTCATTCAGGCATGGGTTAATGCAAATTTGTAATTGTAATGCATGGTAATGCATTACATTTTCCCAAGTAACTGCATGTAATGTGTAATTCAGCAATTTTTTTGCATTATAATTTGTAATTGTAATTTAATGCATTACTTCAGCAAAAAGTTGTGTAATTTCATGCATTACATTGCATTACTTTTTTCAAATACTATATATCTTTAACAGATTGTTGGAGATTTAGCTAGAGCAGAATTTTGAATTTCTTGATGAACTAAGAACATAATCATTTGAATATTGATTTTCTATTTTCTATTTATTTTTCACACTTTGCATAAATCACTAGAGGGAATTTGGAGATAAAGCCTTGTCCAAGGTAGAACTTGAAAAAAATTGGTATAAATACTAGAATTACCAAATTACAATTCTAAATGAATAACACAACACTGTATATCAGATTGAGTTCTTTTTTTTTAATTTTATTTAATTTCATACATTTTCCTGCATAAAAAGATTGATATTTGAAAAGCATTACTGTAAAAGCGTTCCATAGTTGTCAAAAGATCAATGAATACCTTGTCATGATTAAATAACCATAAAACACTAATTAGTTTGTTTTACAATCAAACTTTTCACCATTTTGACACTTGGGCATAGATTAAGCTGTATGTTTATTACATAATTAGGAGAGAAATTCTTAGTAAATATTTTGATTGAAATTATAAAAACAAATGTATATTTATAAAATTAAAGTTAACATCAAGTTCAAATAAGTATTAAACTTCATCTCTGTAAATTTTTTTAGAGAAATCACAGAGATGTATACCTTGAAACATAAAATGTGCATGAAGGATGAAACCTTCGAAACCCTTATGATGTTAAAATGTAATAGTTGTATTGAATAGAATTTTTACATGTATACTTAAATTTAATACATGGAACAGTTACTGCATAAACTAGAATCTTTTGTTACTTCATGTTGTTTTTCAAAATGTTTGGTTTTTCTTTTCACTTGATAATAAAATTTACAAATGTAATGTGTAATTCAATGCATAACTTAGCAAAAGTAATTGTTATTTAATGCATTACTTTGATAATTGCATGTAATTGTAATTGTAATTTAATGCATGGTTTTGTCAAAGTAATTGTAATATAATGCATTACATTGCAATGTCATTCGCCCAATGCCTGCACTCATTAGAGTGTTAAAGTTACATTCTTAGGTATATATAAGCATAAAAAGTGTACAAAATAACACCAAATAAAAAAAGGAAACATTAAATGTAAGTATCAATTAATATTTCGGATAACAGATATCCTTCATCAGTATGATTATGATGATGTAAAATGAATCATTTCAATCTATTCTGATTTAACCGTTGGCATAACAATCTTTACAGTTATACAATTATAAACCAAAACAACGCTTATATAATTCTAAAATTTCAAAAATGATATAAGTTAAGTATTTGATAAGATCTTTGCCATTATAATCATGTACTGTGTTACAATCCTACATAACGCCGACGAAGAAAGGCATTATTCGACTAACGAATAAATTTTGATAGCCTAGTTGATCGATTGGTCTAGGGCGCTAGACACAGTGCAGGCAGTGTTGCCACGATGTTTAAGATGTAAGGGTTCGATTCCCGCTGAGAAGAATAAAAATTTGCTAACACAAATTTGCAGATCTAACATTGTTGGGCTAAATTTGAGACGAAGTGTATACATATATAAAAATAAAAGAGAAAAAGACCAAAAGACAAACACTAGTATACAAACACAACATAGAAAACTAAATACGGTTCCTAACTATTTACAAGAAAACTTTCATTTTACTGGTAATCAAAATTATAATTTACGTTCAGCTGATTTAAAACTATTAAATCTTCAAAAGCCAAAAACAAACTTTTTGAAGAAAACATTTACATATTCTGGTTCTCAAATATGGAACAGTTTACCAAATGAAATAAAAATGAGTAATACACTTGTATCTTTTAAAACAAAATGTTGCAAATTTTTCATCAATTGTGCAAATTAATATGCTTTTTCATTATTATCTAGATACAATTGTATATTGTGTATAGTATGTCATTATAATATTGTATGAACTTATAAATATGTTATTATTATTTTGAGGACTCTCAGGAAGATTAGTTTTAACTAATGGGATTATCCTCTTGAAATAAAGATTATTCATTTATTTATTTATTTATTAATACTAAGCAACATGAACCCCATCAAAAACCGAGGGTGGTTTCATTAGTATATATATGATTTCGTTTCTAGATTTCCGTTTTCATATTAAATTTTCAGTTTTCAAAACCGATGACACTGTGAGGTTATAGGTACTCTCAACGAGAAAAAAGAAACAAATATCTCATGGCATTGTTTTTGTGTACTATTAGTGCTATCAAAGACATATCTTGGACTAACGATCAAGATAAATGTCAAGCTCGGAGCCGTCTTAGTCGGACTATAAACTTAGAGTTATTAAGTTGATAATTGAAGACTTTTCAGTAGTCAAATTGTCATATATCGACTTTGTTTTCAGTTTATAAAAATACATTTCTTTAGGGAAATAACAAATGGGTAGAACAAACTGTATCCCTGTCGAAACAATGCAATAGAAAAGACGATGGTGTATTGTGTGGGATTTGACAATAATTCTTATTTCGTAATTAGATTAAACATATACGTTAAAAAAGAATTGCTAGATATGTGATTACGCAACGAAAATTCATAACATTTCATTGCTAAACTATTGAAACATGTTCTTTCCATTAGGTTCGTAAAGGCAGGAATACAGTTTGTCCAAACCTTGGTGTTGTTTCCCTTTGAAAAAAAATCTAAAATGTTCAACAAGGTCGGTTATTGAAAAACAAATATTTGTCGAGGGTAAAGAAAAGCAACAAAAGCATTGAATCTTTAAAATGAAAATAACACTATACGTGCTTTTCTGGATTTACTTTTATTGGGAAATCTTCATCCGAAACATTGAAACGCAAGAGATGTAAAAATACGTAGAAACATAGGAACAATATGACCAAAAATAGACCATAAAAATTGAATAAATTCATCATAGGTCAACTTTGCCCGAGGGAATTGGATCCTTAGTTTCTTAATAATTCATTAATTCTCAACAGGGAATATCTCAACCATATTTTATAAATCATGTCAGTTCCGACGAAATGACAGTTGGGCTGATGTGCCCCCAGATAATAATTCAATGATATTTTGTTTTGTCATTGCTGATTGTACGTGTACTGTCATATAACAAATCCTTCCATCTCCACCTCATTTTGTTTTCTTTTCCAAGTAATTTACAAAATTTCGAATGATAATCCTTATAAATCTAAATAACAATTAAATGCACTGCATTCGTATGATTTTTACCTTAAAATTCATTAGGTGAAAAATGTACTTCTTTTCAAAAGTAAAATTCAAAAGCATATAAACAATATTGAAAAAACCCAACCAATAGAATCATTCAAGAGTTCAAACAAAACAAATAAAAAGTTGCTCAATTCAGTATCCACAAGTAGAAGATTTACTCTTTGTTTAAGTATAAGTTGCAACATTTCGAATTGATACTACATGTATATAAATACTTAGGACTAACCACTCAGCACATTAAACTTTCAAGGATGACAACAACACCTACCATTTAACAATATCAACGTTAGAAGTAACCAAATCTATCTTACCTCTTACACATCTGAATATTACCGTTAATATAACGGAGGTTCCTGGACAGGGGTCTTTGAATACTCTGTTCGAAGAGAATAGTTTGCACTCTTGTTTGCCTTGGCACATTTTGATAACTTGTTTCCGGACATTATTCGTTTGACCACACCACGAAACAGCTATATTGGCATTACGACATTTATTCCTGGTTCTACGTAGTCCGTATGTTGCACTCGTAATTTGAAGACGTCGATTACTTTGCTTACAACGTATTGTTTGTCTCTCTCCTTGACATATTGCGACTCTTTTACCTTTATTATATAAAAAAATAAGAAATTGCAATATTGTATTATATTGATATCTGTATATAAAAGAAATGGTGATAATTATCATAATTATCGTGTTGACAAATATTTCGGCTAAACAAATAGCCTTCGTCAGTGTCATTGACACTGAATGACACTGACGAAGGCTATTTGTTATGCCGAAATATTTGTCAACACGATTTATAACAACATCTTCGTATATTACCATCTTATAATAGTACCGTTGTACATATCTTTAGACTTATATATTTTTTTCCTTATCTGCACAGTATCGTCTATTCTAGACGATCCGGTACATATTAAATTTGCTGCTTGGTGCTTTTTATAGATATATATATATAAATCATTATCTGACGTCGATTTATTGTTATAACTGTCGACTAATGTGTGTGCAAAAAATTATTATTTTTGTCTTGGAGTGCAGGTACCGATAATAGCATTGTAATCTACAGATAACATATGTACAATTATGACTGTATCACGTCGGGCTATATGTACCTCAACCGTAATTATTTGTTTTGTCTCATTTGTAGATCTATCTATTGGAAGAGACATTAGAGACATTTGTTGTTTCTTTAAAGTAATGGTTTTTCAACTGTTAGGGAAACCAGATTTAAAAAATAAAATGCCTTTTGTTTCTTGATACGATGACATTTGGTATTTCATTTGGTACTAGTGTTAAGCCTCTGATAACCATGTCGATTGTTCTTGTGCTCATATGAAGAGAACTCACCCCATATCCTTTGTTTTTCTATTATATTAACGAAGTTTGTCTCTCATGCTGTATGGGGGCCGTAGAAAGTTTCCCTGTGCTTGATATGTATGCTCTTCTGTATTTTTAAAGTTATGATGTATTTATTCTTGAGATAACTTCTATGTGTTCCACATCATTCTCTCAATTTTAGACAAGTTTGTGTACTAAAATTTTAATAAGACGCACACCACCTAATCCTGGCCCTCATTCCTATCCTCGTTAAATTTTTTGCTTCCGAACATATCATAGGGGCGGGATCAATAGAGATTTCCAATAGAATGACATTACTCGACATAACCGACCTATCTGAACGTATCTCGGGCTATTGCATTGATGCATGACGGAGGGGAGCATATACTACATTAATTTTTAGCTCGTTAAATACACATATTTTGCTGAAAAAGATGGTAATTAAAAATTAACCCTGCTATTTTAATTCTTTACATATTTTTTTTTAAAAATTCGGAATGATTTTATTGACAAGAACCTTTTAAGGAAATAATTAATTCAGTCACCGGTAATCAAACGCACCGATCACTCCTTCGTCATTTCACCTGACCCGTATATTTATTTCTCAAAGGGTGAATTCTTAAAACTACTAAATCAAAATTAACATTGAAAAAATGAAAATAATGAAATCTGAAGAGAGATGATATTCTCAATTTTGATTTATATATTATAAGGTTGAAACAGGAGTTTCAAACACGCCGGAATATAAAAGGTGTACACGACTTACTTCTTTTTAGCACACGTCTATAATTTCTATTAAGATACTTTTGTCAGAAGTAAAAACTCAGATCACTGATGCATCTATCTGATAGTACTTTGTCATTTTTCCGTATAATTTTATAAAATGGAATTTATGAGGGTGTATCGTCAATAAAAAAGTCAATACACTTCACTAAATCAGTTGTTTTTTACTTGTCTTCAATTATAATGATGCATCGCTTTTAGGCAGAGTCTGTACAAATGTATGCGTAATTTAATTAAGGTCAAGTTAATGTAAATAGGCTATGTCACAGATTTCGGTAAAGTTTTGCATATAACTGTGGCTCCTTGAACTATAACTGAAAATCGCTTTTATTTCTTTTATAGTCTGAATATTCTTTAAACATTTACTGTTCCTTGACCATGTTGACCTTAACGTCATTAATCACAACTTGTTTTTATGAAATGTTTGACGTTTAACTTATACAAATACGTATGGAAAACGGACATGTATGGCATATTTGATTGCAGTTTAGTTCAGTAGGATGATGCTTTTAGTTTTATGACCAACTTATGACAAGGTCATGTTTTTCTCTGACGATTAATGACGTCTTTACACTAAATCCGGTGGATGTTGGGTGTGTACTGATTGCTATTTTAGTTTTAGATACATTTTTTTAGTTGTTATTGGCTTTGAACTAGCTGCGAGTACTCTCAGATCTGTACTTAGTGTCCTTTTTGTTGTTAGGGATGAGGGATGGATAAATACCCTGCCACGTCCGGTCTGTGTTTATTAAGCTTTTTTCAAACGATTTTTATAGTTTGTTCTTATGTTGTGCTGTTACACCACTGTCCCAGGTTAGGGGGAGGGTAGAGCGCTCACAAACATGTTTAACCCCGCCACATTCTTTGTGTGCCTGTCCCAAGTCAGGAGCCTGTAGTTCAGTGGTTGTTGTTGGTTCATGTCTGTCATATTTGTTTTTCGTTAATTGTTTTGTTATAAATTAGGCCGTTAGTTTTCTCATTTAAATTGTTTCATATTTTTCATGTCGGGGCCTTTTATGGCCGACTGTACGGTATGGGTTTTTCTCAAAGTTGAAGGCCGTACGGTTGCCTATAATTGCTTACATCCACCTTATTTGAATTTTGGTGGATAGTTTTCTCATTGGCAATCATACCTCATCTCCATATTTTTATTATGATAGCAAGGGAATATTATACTTTCTGGTCTGCCCGTCCGTCCGTTTATCCATCCCATTCCAAACATAAAACTTTAAAAATTAAAAGTAGCGTAACTTTAATTGTATTTCCAGTGAGGCAAAAGATTTGAATCTTGGCTGTCTAAGCCTCAACTTGGTTAAAAGATCGCAATGCATTATGCCCATAGGGAGTGAACGGTTAATGGCAAATCAGAATCGCAAAATAGTTTGCAGCATTTACAAATGCAAAAAAATCGAATTTTAATTAGGTTTGATTGATTGTTGTTGCCTGACATCAAATGACAAAAGCTGCATGCATATTCAGGACATTTAAAAACAATAATCCAATAGATATGTAGACTGGGTTGACCATAATAAGAGCATGAATTACAACTGCAACTGGAAAATGGGAGCATGTTAGATATGGGCAGACATTTTGTCTGTAACAGGCCCCTATGGTTCCCTGTGATATTTGTTCTGTAGAGCTAATTATTTCACTTTCCCATCATTTAATTGAACGTCTCCATTCCAACTGGACGTGGCTGTGTATTTATACATCCCAGACGACAAAACGGACCACATTTTTCGTCATTGGTTATACTGTTGAAAAGGGTCATGTAAAGAGTAAATATATGACCTCCTCTAAAATGCTTTTGTACAGATTGGTGATATTAAAGTTTAAGATCCACCATGTCTTTTAACTTTATACGTTTAGGTGCTGATAATAAAATGCATGGATTAAAATAACTATGTGAACTATGAAGTTTTGCTTATTCTAATCAAAGTACATGACAGTAGGAAGAGGACCGCTGTTTGTTCTATGGGAAAGCCAAGTGTCTGTTGAAAACTACGTCCACCAAAAGTAACAAGTTCGTTGTCAAGAAAAAATCAAGCATCATGTCAGTTTCACAGTTATGACCTCTTGTTTGATTAATTTTTTTTTGTCTGTGCCTTAAAAAAGATAGTCGTATCTTTATCTCTCGTCTTTTATTGCTGGATTCGTCTTCTCGTCCTGAATATACATAGTAAAACAACATATGCAATGAACACTTATATATATGGTCCTACATCGTGATAATACTTATATTTTAGCGTTGCGGAAAATCTTGATCTTCTGCACTGGATTGTGAATAATACATAGAAAAGGGAAACAAGCGTGCTGTTTGGACTCCATAGCGCATACTAAGGCGGATTTAGGGGGAAGGTTAATGTACTTCAAGAGATATTAAATATTTTGCCTGGAAATGTCTTTTGTATTTGGACTCATATAGCATTCCCATTAACAAAAACAACACACAACCATCTTTAATCGAGCACACCTTTTACAATACAACCTATAAACAGAATTGTTTATCTATAAATTTTATAATAAATGGCAAGTACTTTTATTTAGAAATTAATATTTTATTTTATTTAGGAGCGATATTCTGACAAACACTGATTTTTACATTTCCTGCTAAGTATATTGAAAAATAACTGTCATATATGAAAGATAACTCAAATCGATCGTTTGATAGGTAGGGGATACGTGTGTTTAAACGTGATCTTATGTCAGTGAAAATTAAGGCGGGAATATGGATAACTCCGTGATAAATAAAAATGCATGATATCTATCATTTTTTATCATGTCAAAAATTATTACTTTGGAAGAACATTCCAGTGTATGATTTTAAAAGTTTTAGAATACTTTGTTTGAGCTTGAGAGACGTATTTAATCAAATTCAATGGTTGCCAATAACCAGTCCCATTAGGTCCGTACGTCGAGTTACGTACGTATGTCATTTTATTGAAAATCTCTAATAGAGATTTTCAATAAAATGACATTACTCGACATAACCAACCTATCTGACCGTATCTCGGCCATTGCATTGAAGGATGACGGAGGGGAGCATAGACTGCATGATTTTTGACTCGTTAAATACACATACTTTGTTGGAGTATATGCTATTTAGAAATTAGCACAAACTACATTTTAATTCTTTACATACTTTGTTATTAAATTCGGGATGATTTCATTGACAACAACCTTTAAAGGGAATAGTTAAGTCAGTTACCGGTAATCAAATGCACCGATTATTACTTCGTCATTTCACTTGACCCATATATTTATTTATTATACTTCATGTCAAAATGCCAGATTTTGATTGGCTAATACGAGGGAGACAATTTACTCTATTCTATGGTAAATTCACTATTACCCTTCACGGAGACGCTTGATCAAGTGTGCGCTTTATTAAATACGACTCTATCCTATGACAAAACTCTATTACCCTTCACGGAGACGCTTGATCAATTGTGCGCTTTATTAAATACGGATGGTTGTTATGTACAAGACGTCATAGTTTATTACTTTGAATTTGAAACTTAATCGACAGTAATAACAGAACATTCAGTATAATAAATTAAATATCACATATCTGAGAGGGTGACAGAGCAGATTGTTACCCCTCGAAAAGACATTGTCAACCTTGGCTTCACCTCAGTTGACAATGTTTTCTCGGGGTAACAATCTGCTCTATCACCCTCTCAGCTATGTGTTATTTATATTCTCTCAAACGATGAATTCTTAAAGCTACTAAATCAAAATTAAGTTTGAAAAAATAAAAATAATAGAATCTGAAGCGAGATCATATTCTAATTTTTGATTTAAACGTTATAAGATTAAAACAAGAGTTTCAAACACGCCGGAATGTAAAAGGTGTACACGACTTGATTCTTCTTTTTTTGTTTTATCATACTTCTATACTAGTAATTTATTTCAAGATACTTTTGTCAAAGGTAACTCAGATCACTGATGCATCTTTCTGATAATACTTTGTCACCTTTCCGTAGAATTTTATCCAATGGAATTTATGAGGACGCATCTTCAAGAAAAAATAAATTATGATTACACTTTACTGAATTAGTTATTTTTTTATATATCTTGTCTTTAATTATAATGATGCATGGATTCTATTAAGTCCCCGTACAAACGTATTCGTAATCTAACGTCATTGCTCTTAAATTGTTTTTTTTTTCTAAAATGTTTGGCGTTTAACTTATACAAATACGTTTGAAAAACGGGCATGCACGGAATATTTGATTGAAGTTTTGTTAAGTAGGAAGATCATTTTAGTTTTATGACCAACTTATGATAGCAAGGGGATGTTATATTTACTGGTTTGTGCATCCGTCCGTTCTTCCGTTCTGTTCAAAATGTAAAACGTTTAAAATTATATACCAAGTTTGACCCAGATTAAGTGGTGCACTGAACATGGACATATGATCATGTGAAGGGGCACGGTGTCTTAAGGCCACACATTATTGTTGCAAATGTTTTGATTAATACACGTTTATGTATATGTGTATCTTCCATATCCATAACTATCTCTTTGGTCGCGCGCTCGCCTCAACAGTAACCCCTCAAATGTGATCGGGGGAATAGAAATATGGTCACTTTTGGTCTTGTTCCGATCGACAGTTAAACCATTGCCAAATGGGGGAGTCCGTTTGGTTGTGCGGGATGTACAAGTACGCAGTCCCGTCCGGTCAGAGTGGGGACGTTAAATCCGATGCCTCTTGAAGAGATAATGCCACGCTCTCTACACGTTAATAATGCATGAAATATTTACTACTGGACGTTAAGCAACCAACTATCACTCAATCGACAATAGTGTAACTTGAATTTTATTTCTGGTGAGGCAAATGATTTGAATCTTGGCAGTCAAAGCCTCACCTTGGTTAAAAGACGTCAATGCCAATAGGGAGTGGACGGTTAATTGAAAATATGAATCGCAAAAAAGGTGTAGGTGATCATACTCTTGATAGGTCACACACTGACAAAAAGATCCTGTCTATGAAAAATCCGGATTTGCTGGATACATGTTCAATTCTCAGTATTTAGTTACAGACAGGTCCAGATCAAAACAAAAATTATTGACAGAATTATATGTATGACCTCCTCTAAAATGCTTTTGTACAGATTTGGAGATATTAAGTTTAAGATCCATGCACTATGTCTTTTAACTTTATACGTTTAGCTTTTGTCAAAATGTATGGATGATAATAACTGGGTGAACTATAAAGTCTTGCTTATATTAACTAAGGTAGAATAGTACTACATAAAATGTAGGAATGCCAAGTGTCTGTTGAAAACTTTGTCCACCAAAATTAACAAGTTCGTTGTCAAAAAAAATCAAGCATCATATCAGTTTCACAGTTATGACCTCTTGTTTGAATCAGTTTTTTGCGAGGTATACTTTGTCTGTTACATAAAAATGATATTTGCATCTACCTTGTTCATTTTATGAAAGAAAGTTTTCAAGGCGTTAATAATGAGGAATGAGTGAGTAAAGAGTAAAGTAGTCAACGTTTTGAACCGTCGTCACTCAGTATACTTTATACTATGGCGTACATGGTATATAATTCTCTTCATCTCTCTATTTTAATGGTTAAAAAGTTGGTGAGGCGGTTGCCTCATTGCGTCAATGAAAGCTACACCACTGTTCGAGTGCGGGAAGTTTTGGACTCGATCCTCGACCGTTTCAAATCAAAAACTGGCTGCCTCTCTGACAAGCACGCAATATTTAGGAGTTAGAGCGAAGATTGGTCGGTCCGGGGTCAAAATCATGTGTACGGGTAGGATGACATGTCTTCCTGTGGTATAATACAAAGTCTGGTTCATATTCATCTTCTCGTCCTATATGCCTATATATGCAGTAAAATACATATGCAACAAACACTTATATATATGCCCCTACATTCAATTAATACTTCTATTTTTTGTTCCATTACTAACGTTCCATATACCCCCTCCCTTTCAAAATCCTGGATCCGCATCTGGCAACGGATCTTATTATATTATGATACTTACCTTACACATTTCCGTTAATGATGTATTCAGTAAAATGAATTCGGTGACCCCCTTTAATTGTTAATCAATAAAATGGATAAATTACTATAAGTTAATTTACCTCAAGGGATATAAAAAAAAATCCTGGAAATGTCTTTTGTATTTTAAATTGGACTCCGATAGCATTCCCTGTTAAACAAATAAAATACAGAACAATCCCTAATCGAACACACATTAATTCTAAAAAACAACATGTATAGGGATGTTTTTATCAATACATTTTATAATAAATGAAAAATTCTTTTGTTTTTAAATTAAATGGGAGCGATACAGTTTTATCTCAATTTTCAATTTTTATAGAGACAGATTCTGACAAACTCTGGTTTCGATATTTCTGAAGTTGTCAGAAAAATACCCTTCTCAATATTTTCCCCGCAACAAATATAATAAAAAGATAGATAACTATAAAGAAAGACAGAAAAAAGTATAATGGGGCGTTCATCTGCAAAGTATATTGAAAAATAATTGTCATTATCAAAACCATGAAAGATAACTCAAATCGTACGTATGATAGGTATGGGATACGTGTGTTTATACGTGATCTTATGTAAGAGAAAATAAAGGAGGGAATCTGGAAAACTACGTGATAAATAAAAATGCAAGATTTCTATCATTTTTCGTCATGATAAAATTATTTTATATGGACGAAAATTCCAGTGTGTGATTTTAAAAGTCTTGGAATACTTTGTTTAAACTTGAGCGACGTATTTAATCAAATTCAATGTTGGCAATAACCAGTCCCATTAGGTCCGTACGTCGAGTTACGTAAGTATGTCATTTTATTGGAAATCTCCAATATACCGTAATTTACACATCAGACCGTACTGGTTACCGGAATTTTAGATACACCAAACCAGGTGCTTCATATCTGAGAAACAGGCAATATATGCCCTCAATTCAAGAATTCATTCATACATGTTTGTATTATTCAAAATTATCAGTCAATATGTGTTCTACAAGGATCACCAGTCCTTCTCCTTTCATCTGATACCTTAATTACTAAAATATATTCTACATAGTTTTATATTCACACCTATGCGTAGGAAATATTTTGTTTTAAACCTGTACTACTTTCCAGTATGTTCTGTTTGGCCGGGCCCGATTTGGTGGTGTTAAATCTTACAAAGTCTATCCAAATTATTTTTGCAAAGAATTCCGCTCGGTGTTAGGAGCGTCTTAAACTTGCAGTGAGATCAGAGTTTTTTTCTCCGTTTTGAAGGTCTCACTGTGACTTTGAGTTGAAGAACAGCAATAAAAGCACTGTTCCTTTGCTTTTTGTGTGTTTTTTGCTGTGCCTGTACTGATTTTTTGTCATGGATGTATACCCCATATCCTTTCTTTTTCTATTATACACAATTTTCTAGTGACATTTACTTCGAATAATACGACAGTATCATATCGTTACTGCTTACATACAATGAATATCGAAACCGGATACATTTTACTAGTTACTAATCCGAGCTCATCAATATCATTAGTATTGATTTTGCACCGGTTTCGATAGGTGATAATATCAGATTATCATATACTGCTTCCGGTTATTATCGCCATGCCTTTCCGTAACGTTACCGCATGGCATTTCGACGTCACTCGGCAAATTTCAGAAAATACACCACTATGGTACGTTTTCAGTAAAAACATAACAAAGTAGGATACAAAACAAAAATTAGGAAACAGGAAAATATATTTTGTAAAATGCAAAACAAATGATACAATAAATGCTTTTTTTAAAGCTTTAAGAATGGTTCTTGTCTGTATTTCTTCTGCAATATCCACCATCAGTGTTCATTATGTTTTGTTGATTTTTTATTAACGTCAATATAAAAATATATTATACTGTTGTTTTTCTCCTCTGATGAGGCATATGATAGAAAGATTTCTGATATTGAACCTTGGGCTGATAATACATCTGATAATAATTTGATAGTAGCGCACCTCGTATCGATAATATAGATTCTAAAAAAATTGTCATTCTACTTAAAATTCTACGAAAGATAGAATAAGTGAGCTTGACAACATGAACTGACCGAATTCGCATTTTATTTTAGCTTGTCTAAAATATTGACTTTTATTTCTTTGGTCTTACCTTCTGTGTTTTCCACAAGAGTTGTAAAAACAATGAATAAACTAAAAACAATACAGATATTCATCCCCATTGTACGCCTTAACTACTATCCAACAGGACCAGACTGTACAACACATTACAATAATATCTGAAAATAATATATTCATTTTCGTTATTCTGTTGGAAGTATGTACATTGAATTTATTAATAATCATATACATATATACTTAACACCTTGTATATATGGGTTTTTTTTTTACTTCCCGTTAACAAAAGATGCATTTTCTTTTCTTTAATACAAACATTATTAACTATTTAATCAAACATGAGTAAGCATTAAGCTTGCATATAACATTTCCGTGAACACCTTTATGACGACATTAATACCATAATACTCTTGAAAGATATTCGTAAAATCTATGAATATATATTTTTTTTTATATTTGAAGCATACAATGCACATAAGTCGTAAATTATAAATTTATAACGATGTTCATGTTTTCATTATTGCTTTTCATTTGAATGCTGAATCTCTTTTGTTTGATTTCTTTTTTGAATATTCGAAGATGAAATGACAGCGGGCACACGTTATCTTTTCGTATACTGTATGATAGCCCAGAAAAACGAACAAGGTAAAAATGTCCATGTTAACGAATCGGTTGATTGATGAGTACTATTATTAGTATACACCTATTGACTGGTTATCAGGGTAATATCAAGTTTGTTGTCTCTGAGATACCAACTTTTGCCCGAGGGCAATAGTTAGTATCAAAGGGACAACAAACTTGATATTACATTCATAACCAGTCATTAAGTGTTTTGTTATACCGAACAAAACAACTTTCTAAAAAGTCTACATACACCACCAGGTTTTTTTTTGCCCGTGTGGTATTTGTAAATATTTCTACATACACCACCTGGAAAAAACAAATAGTCACATAAACATGCACAAGATGAACTATAAAGTTTGTTTTGCCCGTGTGGTAATTGTAAATATTTTTATTTACTGTAATCAAGACCAGAAATCCTTGTGTAAAAATTCCCGTGCATATAATAAACGCTAGCTAAAATTTACCGTACAATTAAGTAATCACAGATTATGAAGACGACGACACACCAATACCTTACATTTCGGATATGTTTTAGTTCTTAAATTCGCGTAGATTTTCTTTTTCTTTTTTACTTGCTTCTGGTAAGTAATATTTCAATTTGAAATAACGACGACAGACACATACAGATTATACCGTTTACGATATTTCAGAGTTTAACGTTGCCAAGCGCACAAATCCAAGCAGAATAGTCATTGTTGTCCAATGAAAAACAAAAATGAAAAAGTCTGGGAAATATGTTTATAAAACTATTGACCGGGGTATTAGTCATTGAAACTATTGACCGGCAAATAGTCTGTGGAATGATATAACACTTGTTTACTGAGGTATAATAATTTATTTTAATAACATTTGACTGAAAAGAGGGATGTATTTTTTAACTCCCTAAAACAAAAGTAATTTTCCTTAAAATATCCATGACAAATAGCAAACTGAATTTCAGATAGCAAGTCTGAAGAATGTTTGTAAAAGTACCACCTGGTGATCTTTTTGTCTTACCGTCCAACATAAAGGAGGAGAAATCACATCGAACTGCTACCATAGTTAGTTTCTTTACAGAAATTTCCATGAGCAACGAAGGCCTAATTCAAGAGTTACGACGTAACAGTGATATATTTTTTACCTCAATAAAAAATGGTCCCCATTTCAAATGTTTCTCTTTATCGAACTCATTAGAGGTTTTGATGAGTAAAGATCTTCATAGACACTAGAAATGATTCTCATTAAAATAAAAGTGCTATCTTGACGACAAGAATGAATTTTTGGTACTTTTACAAGTCTCCCTCCCAAAAAAAATTCCGATCCCACATTTCAGATATATCTGATAATCTAACGCATCCATGGTTTTTATGAGAGAAAATCTTCATACAAATGAAGTGGATCAGAAATTAAATGAAGATACTAACCTGCCAACAAGAGTTCATATGTAACATTCTAACACGCCCCGTTTCCACAGAATGTCCCCCATTTATTATTTCTTCTGATTATTGAGCTCATCAAATGATTCTATAAGGGGAAACCTTCGACCTTATTTAAAGATATCCGACAAAAAAGAAGACGCTATCCTCGCAACAACAAAGTGATGACGCACCGATGAATCATAGACTGCAGGACGGCCGAACTGGTTCAAACTTTATACCCTCCGCAACTTGGTTGCATGGGCTATAATAAATTAATTATGTTATATATCAAGGCATTATGTGACATCATATGTAACGTATATGTTATTTCCATGACACGAAGCTTGAAAAAGAAGTCCAAACAGTGCGCCTGTTCCGAATTATGAAAATTGATAGAGATGTAAAATTGTTTTTAGTCTAGTAAAACTTGATCTTTTTGATGGTTGAAATTGGACTTTTAACACCTTTTGATAACTGCGTTTACTCTTAGATCGACACTTTGTGTCTTTAGTCTATTTGTAAGCTGTGTGTGTGCTTAGTACTAATTGTTTTACATGTGATGTTGTGATGTTACACTAATGCAAAAGTTAGTATTTAGGTCAAACGTGTTTATTGTCTAATAAACAAAAGAATTGGATACCAGTTATGAAAACTTAACATAATCCGCTCAAAAAAAAACCAAAGTTAACAAATTTTTATGGTAGGATTGAGCGCACACATTTTCACATTTTGTCATCCCATGAAGAATTCCCTTTGAAATATACCTCAATCTACAAAAATATTTTTTATTTGCATCTTACCGAAGGATTATTTTATTGAAAAGGTTTTTGTAATACCGGTGTGGGGTCGAGTAAAAAGAGGAGATATTCAAATTACACATTACACGACCGACTGATCATTGTAAATAAGGTCGGTTATTTTTAACAATTAAAACATTCATACATAATGTTTAGAACAATTTACACAAATATGTTTAACGTGCAGAGAGCGAGGTATTTATCAATCTCCTTGCACGAGACATCAGATGTGACGTCTCCATTCCGAACGGACGTGGCTGCATTACTATACATCCCATACAGTCAAACATGCACTCTTGTTAGTATGTGTGTTACTACCGAGTGGGATAATTCGTGTTGACTATATTTCTCTAACCGAGTCAAACCTCGAGGTAATGTAACTACATATATCTAATGTATGCTTGTCTTTTTTTTATATAAGGATGTGCATGAAAATAGCGTAGAACAAAAACGGACATTCGAAATACAACTGTCATCAAGTTATCCTAACTCAGGTTATAATATTTTTTTTTTTAAACTGATGGAAAATTAAATGTATTTTTTTTTTGTTGCCCAAACAATCTTAATAAAAAGATATCGACTGAAACCAAGTAACTATAAAAGCATAACTACTAAGCTACAAAAATATTTCATATGGCCTTAACAAATTATTTTTGGCAAGTCAATTTCATTCAAAAGTTTTAAGAATTACCCTCAACTTTTGCCGTGACTCACTGTTCATGAACACATCGACGAAACATCTCGGGTACCAATTGGTTGATAATCAATTGTAGATATTACATATGATGTGATACGGTAATTCATACATATTGCTTGCGCTTTAATATATTTATTAGATATTTGAATGAAAACCAACGGATGTAAATTTAGCGATTTGATATGCATGTATAAATAGATAGCCTAAATTCATTGAAATCACTCGTAATACTCACAATATTCAATGAGTATATGTTCACGTTTTATGTACATGTTCAGACATACATGCAGAGCTGATTGATTAAAAAATTTCTGATGAGATAAGATGGATCTTTTGCACACCGAATCAAAATGAGGAATAAGTAAAAGCCCTCGTCATAGATACTAGGCTTTAACTTTTTTTTCGCCAGACGCGCGTTTCGTCTTCAAAAGACTCACCAGTAACACTCGAATCAAAGTAGAAAAAAGGTAAATATTCTCTGATGAATATTCTTATAAGCATTGTCGTTTTTTGTGTGTGTTATTATTGAAATTTTAGTAATAAGAAAAGATCATGAATTGTTTTTAATTGATTGATAGATATTAACCATTTTATTAATTTCATAAGAAAATTAGATCATTGCTATTTTGATGTTTAAGGCAATTTCAAAACAGTTCTGATTCCTTGTCTGGATTTGGCTATACTTTAAGTCTTTTTTTAGTTTGATCCGCTTTTCAACATTCGTATTAGATTTTGGAATTCAAATATTTTGGCCTCGAGCATCACTGAAGGGACATAGATTGTCGATATGCACATCTAGTGAATCAAAATTGTTACCGTTTATGTTATTCATCCATTTCACTGCATGTTTTCATATTCGTAAAATATAGAAAGTGTATATCACGAAGTTGATTTATATTATTTTTTCTTTTAGTACCATTATGTTTTACTGGAAAATTGGTTCGCTTCAAATTTATTTTTCAATAAAAGAACTTTCTGAACCGTAATCCTTAATTTTCAACGTGACTGTAGATGGCCACAGACCACAATTAAATTCCTCTACTAGTTCTTTATAAAGTTTTGTCTCATTAAAAAATTGCACCAAGTCTTTTTGTCCAAATTTTTGTGTGTGTAATGTACAGTACTAGTCCAAAAATATACCCAACTTTCAGAAAGATTGCACCCTAACATCTTACTAATTTAGCCAATACACATGCATACCTCTATGGACAAGTCAAGAGATGTTCCGAAAACTGTAAATATTACCTTTTTGCACCTGGCCTAATCACTCTTTCCATATCAAAATCAGTTAAAATACAACATCCGAAAATTTATTTCAGCTCTCTTCTTTCATTTCCACCCCATTAAAACTAAGAAATGAATGAGAAAGGGAAAGAAAAAATAAAGAAAAAATACACTTTAATTAAAGGAAACTATATTCGTGGACAACGAAAAGCGGGGTCATTATTGTGGTCTTGGGCCAGATAATTTATTGATTAGTAGTATAGAGAATTAAGTGGTTATTTAAGCTCACAAATATTAATGTCTAATTAAGAAGGGAACTGTATTTGGGAAAAGTCGTCGCAACAATAGTTCAAGTATGAGACACAATGTATAATCGGATGTACGTTAAAAGGAAATCATTCGGCCTCCGGGCTCATCGTTTCTTTTCAATGAACTGACGCTTATCCATTGTAACTCAAACACTTAATAACGAATTTTACTGCAACGTGACCATGTACGACCGTATTTCTACGTTGCATGTCAATTTAAACTTTCATTAATACTCACTACAACATATGTTTGTTAAAGATTTTAGATTACTAACAGGATAACACAAATTCTTCCATACCAATGAAGACATTTACATAAGCTAAAAGTTCATTTCTAATAAAATTACGGTATCTAAAAGGTAATATATAAAATGCAACATGTGCAAAAAGAAAACTAATCAAACACTTCAAATAAAATGTAACAAGAAATTTTCTGTAAAAACAACTAACTTATTTACCAATAAATAATCCTTTTGTTTTCTTTTTTCTTTTTATTTACTTTGGGCTATGGAATGAAAGTACAATTAATACAAATGGATATATTTCCCAAAATTTTAGTTTCTTTTATCCTTATTAACTCGTTGGTATATACCCAAGGTAAGAATTTCGTCTTTTTCTTCATTTTTGTAAGTTTTATGTATTCATAACACATACTTATACGAATTTCCATAAGAATTCTAATAATTATACTTCAATATAGAACAAGAAAGCATAAATTAGACATAGCCGACATGGGAAAGTAATATCCCCAAAGGCGTATGTTTTAATATGGAAACATCCTTGATAAATAGATAGAAATTGCAATGATGTATAGAATTACAAAATTAGATCTAGATACAGTTGGGATCAGTTTTAAACTGTCTTAGAACAGTCTGTCATAGAAATGTTCTTAAAATATTAGTTTTAGAGAAGTTATTTGGTAGAACTATCCTAATCAGTTTTATGGTAGAACTATCCGAATCAGTTTTATGGTAGAACTATCCGAATCAGTTTTATGGTAGAACTATCCGAATCAGTTTATGGTAGAACCATCAAAACACATAAACGGTACCAATGTTACCGTACTTTACCGACCTGGGCATTTCGACAATTAATGTCTATTCAATAATGCTCGAGGTAAAATTATTTGAAAATCCAAAATCTTATACAAACGTTGAAGAGCTAATAAACTAAAAAGGACCTAGAGTGAAGCGTAATACGGACATGGAATCAGATCTTACATTATTTTCCAAAAAATCAAGATCAGTTCTAGGGTAGAACTGTCAGATCAGTTTTATCTGGGACTATTATACTAAGTTTAAGGTTGTGCAGTTAAAATCAATGATTTAAAGAAAAGCAGCTTTTTGATCATGATTTAGAAACAGTTAAGGTTGATGAGGATTTCCGGGGCAGTTATATACGTAGGTGGATTTTCCCTGCAAGTTATACTCTAGATAATAGTAATCTAGGAAGTTTCTAAGTTACGTCATTTCTCCATGTTTGATTTTATATCATGAAAAATATTTTATTTATTTTCTATGTAAAAATCCCTATGCAGTGAGAAAAAAGACATCACATTTCTCTGTAATTAATATAAAAAAATAATATAATTATAATATTGTCTTCAGAGAGACAACTATACGCGTCGAGGGGCACTTTTGGGGTATTTATTAAAGGTAAAAAATTTGGATTACACAGTGCCCATATTATTTCCTCGGGGGAGTGTTTTACACCTGAGATTATCTGACGATATACAATCTTTTGTATTATTATACTTGTGTGTATATATAAGATGGCTTCAACCTATGCCAAAATTTGAAAAGTATATATATTCAAACTATGCCAACAAACAAAATACAAAAGGTGTTGTCATAGCAATCTACACTTAATTACTGGTAACTTACAGTGTATTATGACATCTTAAATCTGAATTTTAATTGCGCCCAAACTAATTTTTCTTTGCGCCAAAACATTTTTTTTTCATTTTGCCGAAACATAAGTTTTAATTTGAACAGATAAGATTAGATCCATTTTATATAATTTTACGTTCATCAAAAGCCAGCAGTTAGTCGTGTTCAATGAGTATGTGTTCACGTTTTATGTACATGTTTAGACATACACGAAGAGCTGATTGATTTAAAAACTTCTGATGAGAAAAGATGGATCCTTTGCACACCGAATCAAAATGAGGAATAAGTAAAAACACTCGTCATAGATACTAGGCTTTAACTTTTTTTTGTCAGACACGCGTTTCGTCTACAAAAGACTCATCAGCAACCGACTCAAATCATGAAAGCAAAAAATGTGAATAATCTCTGATGGATATTCTTATAAGCATTGAAACATTTTGATGAATGAACTAGTAATTCATGTAATGCTAGGATTACAACTGATAGTAATGGCCATACAATTGAGAACTCTTTACAGAGCACGACTACGTTGCAGATGACCGTAAGTCTGGCAAAACAGGTCCGTGATAGATATAGAGAGTAATATTGTTATATCGCAAATATACCACTCGAAATCGAAAGAAATATTTTGCAGAAAATGCAAAAGTTAACTCCTTGAACAACTAAACGATTTAAGAATGATAGATGGCATACAGAAGGGATATTTTCTGGTATCTTAAAAAATTCTAAATGAACAAAGAAGCGGAGGATATCAAGGGAACATTCAAAACTGGAAGAAAAACGGACAACGTCATGGCAAAAACGAAGAACGACGAAAAGACAAACAAGTCCCCAAATATTACATAGAAAACGAAAGATGGAGCAACATGAACTTTACCCTCTCTCAAAAATGTTTAACATTCTGCTAACATTTATACAGTTGATGTTGAAAATAAGTCACTTTAGTTTTTGTGTGATCCAATTGTTGAATATTTGGACACTTGTTACAGCCAGCCCCTATTTTGATGTTATTTTAGTGTCTTGTTATATATATATGCAGCATGCCTAATACGACAGCGGCATCTCGACAAGGGGAAATATTTTTTAAAGCAGGTATCGACACAGTTTTGTTCTAAACATAGTGATGATTTGAATAATATTCTGGGGAATTGTCCGTAATATCTCTCAAATATAACAGACCTGTTATAACCCAAATCTGTTGTATGTTTGAAGCAGGTGAATTTTTGAAGAATTTTGAATTCTCATCAGATAAATTATGATATGCTTTTTCTAAGAAATTCATAAAGGATTTTTTTCTGACGTAATAAATAATTCAATCTGAATTATAAGTAAACCAAATATATCTTTCAGACTGAGGAAATTTTTGAAATCATCTTTGGTTAAGAAAAATTGATAATATGAAATCAACCTAATTTTCTCATATACAGTTGACAACATATCAGATATTATGTAGGCTATAAAAATGACCAACCAGCAAATTAATAGGAATCGGATCGTCTAGAATAGGCGCCACTACTCAAATTCCGAAACAAATTATTAAAGTCTTTGAATTTGTTGAACGATAGGTAACTTTTGTAAGTAAATGATTGAAATAAAATTGGGGATGGCTGACATTTAAGAATAGAAAAAAAAACAAAAAACAAACTAGTCAAACCTAGCAACCTATGTGTGCGTCTATCAAAAGTCAGAATATTGATAGTCTTATGTCATATCTTATGTGTTTCATTTTATTTTGAGAATGTAGTATTGACAACAGATATTTGATAGTTTATGTTAAATTTATTTATAATTTGTTATTTCGTGTTAAGATTACTGTGTTAAAATCATTTAGCGCTTGAAATATAGTATAGACATTTGTGTATTGTTAAAGGCTGTATGTTGAACCTTTAAGTTAGATGTTGTTTTAGTTATTTGTGTCATTCGATGGCTGTTTCGTTGGTGTGCACCCGCCATCTCCTTTTACTCGTACATTTATCTGTAGACAATTATTAGTGTTTACATGTAGAAAGATTTGTCCCGGTTCTTTGGAGAGACCTTTTAGGGTCATTTGGTAAAAACTCCGCTATGATAGTAAACATGGCATTACATCATCCGTTCTTCGACATATGTAGTTAAATGTACTTGACATCAAAACTGAAAAATTCGAGCATTTCAGTTGTACGTGAAAAACTTTCCTACGATCACCTGTACCATTATAGATTATGTCTAGTAAGTACTTCAAACAGCTTTTAAAGGCAATGACTCCAAATTATTGAATTAAACGAATAAAGTTATGACCTCTTTAATCATAAATGAAAAAAAAATCCACTGTGAAATTGACTTAGAATTTTCTTAAAGTTACTCAAAAACATTACCAAATTATACCTTATAATATTTTGTTTTTAAGGTTGGTTTCGAGGATGGAAAAGATTTATTAGATTTTCTGGTAACATTTTTATTACATTTGTCTGTGTCTTTGTAGATTAATTTTTGAGTAATCATTGACACAAAATAAAAATAACTATGCTTTTATAAGGTGCTTACGTTTCAAATCATAGCCTTTTGAGCCGACCTTAATATCATGTTACTGTTGTAAAGAGTGAATGGAAACTAAGTGCCAGCACTTCAGATAAAGTCTAGTGAGTCACGCACATATTCTTACTTCGAAATCGAGTATTTCAGTTATCATTTTATACATTCATTTAGGCTAACAGTGTTAAGAATTGACAAGATTAGGCTTTCAGCATAGCGCAATTATAAAAACAATTATATGCGCTTGTAATATTCTTAATTGTGAGTTCTTTGTGGGATTAGGATGATAACATTTTCAGATTAGGAATATGATAGTTCCAAGCTTTTTACTCAACTGCAATTATATTATTTTCATATTTTTGTTTATTTTTTTAAGAAAGAATTATAATATGTGATTATTACTCTTCGGTATCTGATTACTTTTTTTTTTATCAAAATATTTCCTTTTAGGTAGACGACAAAGCACGATCTGCAACGAACGCCGTACCAATATTAGTTGTCGCTATGGTCAAACATTAAAGATTCTATCAGCTGTTTATGGCAGAACAGAGGTTTGGACTTGTAGACCACGAAATAAAAAACAAAAAATGTGTCGTTTAAATGTACTTCGACAAGTTCAAGACCTGTGTCAACAGAAAAGGTCTTGTAAATTGTACTCTTCAAATCGAGTGTTTAATAAACCGTGTTCTGGTACAGAGAAGTATCTGAGAATTAAATACCAATGTGTCAAAGGTATGTAATGTACTATTTGTGTATATTTATTTGGGCTTTTTCTAATTTTTTAACCCCATTTTCTAAAAGTTTCAACAAACTTTTATCATGCACCACACTGACTTCCGCTTTTGAAGCCAAGAGGTCAACAATGGCTAATACTAGTAATGTTGTCGTAAAATGTTCATCATCCCTATTGTTTTTGAAAGATATAGATAAAGATCGACGATAAGTAAGAGGCACTCCAAAAACCAAAAACACTTACAACGTTATTTTCCCATACCATGTATGAACAAGATAATAAACAGAACATTATTGCATAAAATAAGTTGCTTCTGATTTTTTTATGGTCATAGGTAAAATTTAGATCAGTGGTTTAGTGCAAAACCATGTCAACGTTATGCAGAAAAGAAATTTCATCAAACGAATTACATTGGTCATAAAACACCTCTATCACCCCTATTATTAAGGGCAGCAAAAGAGTTCTAGGTTAAAAAAAAACTATAAGGGATGCATTTATTCAATGACGTCATTATTGAAAAGTAAACTAATCTTTTCACATTAGGACAGAAAAAGAACGCGTGTGCACTTGCTCCCTGTAAGAATGGAGGGATATGTAAAAGTTCTGGTACCAATTTTTCCTGTAATTGTCGAAGTGGATTTACTGGAAAAAAATGTGAAATAAGTAAGTAAACAGAAAAGTATCTATAAAATGTATTTGGTTTCGAATGCTACAGTTTGTAATAGGTTATAGAATAAGTGTTAATAATTCAATGTAAGAAATATACAGTATTCATGAAATGTTAAGTAATGTTTGCATTTATCAGAAGGAATGGACTTAAACTGGTTTTTATTTTAGATATAGTTGTTAATCCTCGTTATTGGTCTTATTCGCTTGTAGGATGTATATTACATAACGAATTACCTAAAACTATTAACAATTTAAGTTTGAACATCCGTTGCAATATGGTTACAGCAAAAAAGTTACCAACTTCCTCCTTTCAGTACCGTCCGGAATAATTCATAATCAAAAGTTTTACTTGACAACCTGAAACCCTACAATATCATGAACATCACAGAACCCAAGAATGGTTAATGGGAAAATAAATTCAGAAATGGCAACATTTAAGCATGTACGCATGCCATGCTCAATATGAGATACCAATAATTGTGAAAAATACAGTCGTAAACCGGGACAATATCTGATGAGTCAAATATAACCTGACAGCTTTATCCTTATCTAGTACTGACGTTTACTTTTTACTTATTTATGGTTTATCTCTTTTACACGTCTGTTATCTTCGGATTCTTTGCACTTTTCTTGTGTTCCAACACCTTTTTTCGAAATGAACACATATGCATTTAGTCAAATTTAGTGACTTGTTATTCGTCTTTCAAGAAGAGGTTTCTGAAAGCTAGTTTCTCTATACACATCTTTAATTAATTTGTACCGTAAACAGATGAAGGTTAAAAGGAAATACATAAAGATGACGGGCGCCACCTGTCTTTACATCTAGAAGTAATTTTATTTTCTGCTGCCCTGTTAATTAGAAAACTTTTTAAGACAATTGAAATACCGAGAAATGAATGTTGGCTGTTGGTGTAGAAATAACGAAAAATATGGAGGCAACTTTTTGTGATGATCCAAATTTTCTGTGCAAAATTAAGAAAGGGTGTTCTTCATTCATGCTATTTCTAAAATTCCTTAACCATAGAGTACCCTTAAAAATGCCATTTTTCTAACAACAAAAGATGTGGCACCATATTTGCTTTTTATTCACAGCCAAAGGTGTTGAAAATTCAGAATTTTTTATAGTGAAAACGCAGGGCCCTGAAAGGCTTCTATTATCTCCTATGTAAATAAATACATCATTGTAGGTTGCACTTTGTAAAAACAGCTGTTTCACAAAAACGCCTCTTATGGGGAGATATATAATATTCATAGATAGGTTAATTTGTTAACGTACTGGTTCCCAGATATTATCTCTGTGTTTCATCTCATAGAGACATAACTTAGGAATGTTACCAGTATAGAAAAACATGGTAGCGCCTAAAATTTAATTCTTAGGAGGTCCAAAAGTGGAGGTAGGGGTAGTATAGAATTTTAGTACAAGTTTAAACTCTTAGAAGTTCAGGGCATATAAATGTTGAAAATATGCCGCACAGCCCTATATTTTGACCTTTGAATAAAAAAGTAGTGCATATTAACTTCCCGTTCTGGGATATAATTTTTCACGCAACTTCATAGTAAAAGTGGCACAGTTTTAGCCGCAAAGGGAGTTCCTTTGGGAAATTGCATTGTCTATATTGACAGAATTGCAACCTGTAACCTGAACGCATCAGCGCTTGCCATATGTTATATAGACGGTTCTATAATTGGAGATCATTTATGTCCTCTTTATGTCTTTTGACATGACTCTGTACTTATGTATCCCGTCATACTTAGAACGACAAAATTATTTTATATTTACCTGTGTAACTTCAAACGCGCGATTCTACGCCAGTACTTAAAACCCTCCATCCTTTATGGGTGGATTTTACAAAAATTAATGAAATCTTATAATAAAAAAGCAAAATGAGGATGTTAAATATGATGTATGCCTTTTTGTGCTTCTTTGTTACATTTGTTTGTTTTTATAGTGATTAAGATGATAACACAATGTTGACTGCTGTACCACTATTTTTGACATTTTTACCTATTGTGTCTGGCCCGAGAACACAGTTATTTCGTAGTGCATTTCTTTTAGACAATAAATTCAAATTAAAAAAATCGCACCTACTCTATCTCAAAAAGATTTTTACAGTGTAGTGTACTACTATTGATACAAATAATATCAAAATTATAGAAACTTCTACCAGCTCTAACTCAAAATATTGACAATTTTTTGTTAAGGGGGGCTAAAATTCAGTTTGACAGCTTCAGACATTCTAATTTTTGACCTTTTTTAACTGGACCAAATCATTACTTAACATAAAGATTCAGCACCCAAATTTTTTAACATGTAATTTCATCCCCTTACTTAATATTTCATGCATAACATATCAAGAAATAAATTGGGAAAGTGTATAAAAAAAGAATGCAAGTTATACACTATTAACTGTGTCCTTGGACCGTCTGTTTGTTTTATTCACGCATCGTTGTCATTGTAATGGAATTTGATGTGACTGTCATACAAGTGAGAGGTTTAGCAAGCTATAAAAAAACATAAGAAAATGCCTGTACCAAGTCAGGAATATGACAGTTGTTATCCATTCGTTTGATGTGTTTGAGCTTTTGATTTAGCCATTTGGTTAGGAACTTTCCTTTTTGAATTTTCCTCGGAGTTCAGTATTTTTGTGATTTTACTTTTTATTGAAGAATTCTGAAAAAAGGACGTAACATAAATTTAAATGATGTTATGCTCATCCTCCAGGATCACCTAGTATCACATCTGGTCTTTGTTTTTGGGTGGGTGGGGTTATTGGACAAATACAAAATAATATTGTGTAGATTGAATTGTTAAGTCACAATCATATAAATAAAAATGCACAAGCTTTGATATATATAATAACTAGTGATTTTTGTAGAAATGAATATAAAAAAATTAAATTGATAAATTTTATTAAATTGGAAACCTGGCGCCAACGAAGGTAATTTAAAACAATCTTAGTGTTAAGTTAATTTAATTCATATGGTAGGGCAATGACTTCCGATCGGATAATTCTTTTATAATTCTTTTTATACAATAAATATGTTATAGGCGTATCATAGAGCTAATAAAAAGGGATTGAGACTAAAGTAAAAGCAAACAAACTTGTCTTTGATCTGTAACAAAACAAAATTTCAAGATCAAATTATGCTTTAAAAGTAACTTCCTCGTCGAAGGTTGTCTTAAGTTATATCTTAATGTTTTTGCTATAAGAAATTAGATGGTGACGGTAGTAAAATAACAAAAATATCGAACTCCAAGGAAAATTCAAATCGGAAAGTTCCTTAGATATTTGATTGTTTTTAAATCATATTTTTCACACTTCTGTAAAGATTAAGGGCGATTTAGAGCTTAACATATTACAGGCAGTTGTCTATTTTTGTTGATCGAAAGACGTCTTATTTTTTCGGTGGATTGCTGCTATTTATATTATGATGGATTTGAAAGGCTTGTTAATATGTCTTTTGATTGAGTTAAGCCAATTCAATTGATATTTTATAGTGTGTCTTTCTATGTTGTGATGTTACACTATTGTTTCAGATAAGGGTGAATGTTTGGTACCATTAAAACGTTTAAACCCGCTGCAATTGTTTGCACCTGTCTAGGAATCTGATATTCAGTAGTTGTCGTTTGTTGATGTGGTACATAAGTGTTTCTCGTGTCTCGTTTTTTTTTTATATAGATTAGACCGTTGGTTTTCCCGTTTGAATGGTTTAACAATAGTAATTTTTGAGGCCCTTTATAGCTTGCTGTTCGGTGTGAGCCAAGGCTCCGTGTTGAAGACCGTACTTTGACCTATAACGGTTTACTTTTATAAATTTTGACTTGGATTGAGAGTTGGCTCATTGGCACTCATACCACATCTTCTTATATCTATTGAACTCTGTTTTCAATTCATGTGTGGGGAACCCGGTGGCCGAGTGGTCTAAAGAGTTTATCTACTGTATAACAAGCCTGACAACACAAACGGTTTGGCAGGTGCGTTCGACTCCAATCTTAATTAACTAGATTTGATTGCCAGTTTTACTGCCACATGTCCATACTTCTCTGGGCATCCGGCTTCCTTCACCAATAAAATCTGACCGCCACGAAAAAGCCAAAAGTATCGTTAAACACTAAAAATCAGCCAAACAATCAATCATTCAATTCATTTGTCAACCATGCTTATCAGAGGAACAAGCAACCCTAGGCCTCACAGAGTTTTTGTTAGATCAATATGATATCTCATAGAAAAGATTAATGTGTTTGTAAACATGCATAAATACAGATGTGAAATATATTTCAATGATACAGCAATCCAACAATACAACTAACCACAAAAAAACACACACACACACATTAATAGGTTATTAAAAATGCACGAACCGAACTAATTAATAACAAACTGTAAGGACCACATTGGTAGACAAAGGTCCATTCCATAATAGTATTCGACCCAAAACTATACAATTTGATAATAGAGGTCTACCACTAGCAGAAATGTCACAAAAATGAACACAAAATAGATATAAAAATAGACATCTCATAGACTTCGAAATTTATGGAAACTTAAATTATTTATATAGCACTCAACTTTAACCATAATAATGGTCCCTAGTATCTCAAAATATTTTGGCCGGGTTGGAAGAAGTCCGAAACGGGCTTTAAGAATTGGGATTGGGCGGGAAGCCGGGTGAAAGTGTGTAATGAATTCCTCATACATTTTTAAATCCAGATGCCTGAAACTTCACAGGAAGATTGGATTGTACACATGTTGAAATTGTGCTCCTGCTATTATGGAATTGTTTGAGGAATTTGCCCTATTTTAATACTTTAAAGCATCACATATCTTGTTTAAGTTAAAGGATTAATGGTATTATGATCTCCGAATTACTTTTTTAAACAATAGAAAGATTTGGTTGAATACACCTCCTTCGTGTTTCGAGTACATTAAACAATCCAGCTCCGATTATTGCAAAAACTGTGGTATTTCGGAGACCGTTATTTCTCCACAATTAAAGAGTGTATTCGTAGTTACGCTCAAATTCTGTTAAAAATATATATTAATGTCCACCTTAATACACATTTATCACACGAAATGATGTGTAATATGGCAATAGAAATAGTAAGCGCATTTCAAAGAATTGATAAGTTGACAAATAAAAGAACATGCACAGTGATTTGTCGGGTTATTTTTTTCTGAAAATAAAAATGAAAGGATGGCTTAAAGTTACAAAATTTCTAAATTCTTAGAATATACTCTAATTGTTTTGAGAAAAATGCATGGTACCGATGCCAGTCATACACAGTTCTCATGTCAAATTACTTTTTAACAACACATCAAAGGAATAAAAATTCTACATACCATTATCATCTAGTAGATAGAAGAAGAACACACAAAACTACTTGTATACATTGTCATTATTTGTATTGTCAAATTTTTATCAAGGCTCGAAAAGGGCATCTGCTGCTGTAAGCATTTAGTATATATATGATTGTATTTATAAATCTAACATTATGATACTTTTTTTTAGATGTTAACGAATGTAAATCCAACCCTTGCCAGAATAAAGGCAGATGCGTTGACATGCCAAATAGATATAAATGTGTATGTAAACCTGGGTATACAGGTCGTCACTGTGAAGTAGGTGAGCTTTTGTGGTTCTCTGAATACTTGTTTATTTTCCATTTAACTGTACACCCAATTTGAATTTAATACAATAGTTGCGATAAAAGTCGATAGTAATGCAGAAATCAGGATAAATTTTTTTGTTTTTAAAATTAGAGTTTTGATTGTTTAATAATGACATCGTGTATAAACCTTCAGTCTTAGCTTATCATAACATTACTCGGTTCACACTGTAATTATGAATTCGTTCTTAATTGACAACGGATTGTCAGTTGTACTATCGAAGATCTGTGTTGGTAATCCCCAAAACAGTGTATTGTGTTTTTTTTTTAATTTGAGAAGTTTTAAATATCTCAAAGAGACAGGCGTAACCAGTTCATCTGTCCAAACATGTATACTATAACAATCGATAAAATATTTCAAAGATTTTACAAATAATCGTGCGGTTCGTGTTGCTCAGTCTTTAGTTTTCTATGTTATGTTTTGTATACTGTTGTTTGCCTTTTCTTTTTTTTGCCATGGCATTGTCAGCTTATTTTAGACTAACTAGTTTGAATATTCCTTGGTATCTTTCGCCTTTCTTTTAAATAAAGGCAATGAATATTGCAGGTATTAACGAATGCAAATCCAACCCTTGTCAGAATGGAGGTAGATGCGTGGATGGGATCAATCGATATACATGTGTTTGTAAACGAGGGTTTAGAGGTCTTCATTGTAAAACAGGTTAATTACGAACTTTATAAATACATGTTCAATAAAATAGGCACTTTCATTGAAAAAGATAACCTCTAACTTTCAGAAGTTAGAAACATCATCTTCACAATCTACCATTTCAATGACCAAGGAGATGATTGACTCAAGATTCAAGAGGATTACATTATAACTGATTACAACGAAACTTTACTTTATATATAAACATCAAACTTGAAACAAACCTAATCATACACCAGTTTAAAGGAAACTCATAAAGACAACACACAGAAACTGGCACAAAAGACAGAAAAATGTAGGAACACAAGCAAACGACACAACATGGTTGATATGATAACCAACAGCAGCATTAGGAAAATAAACCTCAAAATTTGTTAGAAAAGAGAATTTGAATAAATTAATTTGGAGCTTCCAACGTTTATCAAGATTGTTAACGCCATTCAAAATTATTCTATGGAGATGACAAAAAAAACCTAAACATTTAAAGCACTATATGTGGTAGATATAAATTTAATATGTTGATATTGATGTCAGAAAAAATCTAATAAAAAAAAGATACGCGATTAATGCCCTTTAATTGATTGATTAATATCTATTATCATTGTAGCAGCAATTTTATTTTAGAAATCAATGCATGCAAATCATCTCCATGTCAGAATCATGGTATATGCCAAACTGTTGGATTAAGCTACAAATGCAAATGCAAACCTAATTACACAGGTGATCGATGCCAAACAAAACGTAAGTTCTTGTACAGATTTTAAGATGTTAAAATGTTCAACCTGCCATTTTTTCTTAAAATGTCCTGTACCAAGTCAAGAATATGACAGTTGTTATCAAATACTAGTAGTCCGTTTCTACGTATGTTGGTGTTTCTTTTTGTAGCAGTTCAGTGTTTCTGTTGTTCCGTTGTTTCCCTCTTATAGTTGATGTGTTTCCCTCGGTTTTGGTTTGTGACCCGGATTTGTTTTCGCTTTATGACTATTGAACAGCGGTATACTACTGTTGCCTTTATTTATGTCATATGGAAAACAATGCATTCTTAGAGTTATTTTTAACACATAAGGCATAAATGATCCTCTAACAGTGTTATTGTTAGACAATCTAGGTATCTAATGATGAATATATTCGCTTTGTTTTCCAATTGCCTTAACCACAATTCCGTGCCCTTTTCCTCGAATGTAACCTACCAAATTAGACTTTTCAACAGGTTTGAACTTACATTAGCAACACACAGGGTTCCACATGTGAAACAGGATCTGCTTACTCTTCCGGATCACCTGAGATCACCCCGATGGGGTTCGTATTGCTCAGTCTTTGGTCTTCTATATTGTGTTTTGTGTACTGTTGTTTGTCTTTTCGTCGTTTTTCGTTTCTTGCCATGACATTGTCGGTTGTTTTCGACTTATATGTTTGAATATCCCTTTGGTATCTTTCGCCTCTCTTTTTCGAACTACTAATGATTTTCTACCCAAGAAAAAGATTACCTTAGCTGTATTTGGCAAAAATGTCGGAATTGTGGTTCCTTAATGCTTTTCATCTTTGTACTTTATTTTTGCCTTTTTAACTCTTGGATTCGAGCGTCATTGGTGTGTCTTTCGTAGACGAAACGCAACAAAATTTTGAACCTGGTATCTATGATGAGTATTTTTGTTCAGGAAACTGCAAATGGACCGGGCAAATTTATTTAAGAAGCTTACGAAATAGGGCCTTATTCCATACTTTTAATTGACTAAAAGTTGATTAAATTGTTATCCAAAATGGGATCAACCGTTCAATGTTTTTTTTTAGTACAGTCATTTATTCTCAATATTTAATATTTTTGTATTCATGCCTTTTCATTTTTCTCAAGTCACCTGGCCCACAGTGCCATTGTGAGCTATTGACATCGTTTCTGTTTGTCGTCTGTTTACTATTACACAAAATATTCTTCTTTGAAATTATCAAGCAAATTGCATTGCACACACGCTCACCCTTATAGTATCTTGTTTATAAACTGTGTTGGATAAACCCGTTGACCGACAAACATGGCCTTAAAACCGTTATAGATAGGGAAAATTTGACTTGCCAAAAAAAAATCAGACTGTCAATCTAAACCTACTGTATATTTCAACTAAACCTGTCAGACCTCAAAGGACAATGTTCTACCAAAATTTTGTGTTTTTGGCAATTATGATGAAAACTATTTGGAACACAAGTAGTAGAAAAGAAAAGGAGAGACAGTAAACAGCAAAAATAATCAGCAATATAAGATCTACAAATACGCAAATGATTGAAATCATTGATAAACGCCTACATGAGTTGAAAGCCCCCAAATCACAATTTTAACAATTTGTTTTTCACGTTTGCCTATTTGACCTATTTTGAAAGTTATAATGGAAAGACAATTAGAAATGATCAGCGAGAAAATGCTTTGGCCCAAACAGCTCCCATTCAACCCAAATATTCTTGTTGCATGGTATCAATTTTATTCCTTGTCGGCAATACAGGTCCGTTGAAGTCTCTCACTTTCTTTTTGTTATTTTGAGTCTTTTTAGACTTGTACTTATGAAACCCTGTTCTTCGCAGTCACCTACCCATATAGAAGTATAGATATATATAAATAAATTTATTATTGACAATTCCAATTACAGGTGCATGTTCTTCTAATCCCTGCAAGAATAACGGTAAATGCAAAGACATAATAAATGGATTTATCTGTACATGCCGACCGGGGTACACAGGCGCCCAATGTCAGACAGGTAATGTTATAGACATAATTGATAAAAGTAGATAAAAAGTTCTTCACTTAGAAATTGATACGACCCTTAGATCCCTTGTCTCGGTTTTAGATGAAGTCATAGTTACGCCACTGGTTATTTCAACCTTAATCAATATGGAAAACATGGGGTTTTTTTTAGTTGCTTTCTTCGTTGGAATACATTTTGGGGTTAACTTTGGCAAGACATTAATTTTGTCATGACCGCTTACTTCAATGCACATTTGTATCAACTTCCTCTTCTACACCCCATATCAAAATTGAGAAAGCTTTTTTGCAGATTCTTTCCATAAAATGCAACTACGCACCTCTCATCTTTTCTCCGAATTATATTGGGATTTCCACAAGCAAATCATGGTCAATACCACTGCTAATGTTATGACTTTTTTTCTATTTTTATCTTCTTTTTTTAGGGGGGGGGGAGTTCCGATAGTAAATAATGGCATTTGTCATTGCTTTATTTTAGGGTAATTTTTGTATTCGTAACTGTTCATTTACATCATATTAGAATTTATGAACAAGAAATGAACTGTCAAATTGACATCAAACAGGGTTTTTTTGTATTTTGAAGGCACTTTCAGGTTTCTTTGACCTGCCACGTTCTGTGCCTATTTTTCCAATCTAGCAAGGGAAACAACTCTTGAACGGCAAAATTAAAAATAGTTTATATCGAGCTTGACCTCCATTTTGCCACAGTACCAACATATTATAATTTTATATAATTGGTTAAACGGTTCATAAGTAATTTCACGGAAAAACAACTAAAGGTGCAATTTTCCAATATACCAAGGACCTTAACTGCAAAACAGTAAAAGTGAAAACCGTCAATATCGAGCTTAACCGAGTTAAATTTCAAACTTGTAATTGAATACTGTAGCCAACGGGGTAAAGCAGTAGAATCCATTTCTCTCATAATTTAGTGAAAATTGCTGTTCTACATGGATTAAACAGGAAGTTACATGAGACAAATTTAACCAACGTGAGGTTTATAAAAAAATTATCGAACTGCAACGTCAGAACTGATTTGAATGATACCGAATTAGAGAAACATAATCATAAGTTTGAGAATTGTTGATACCTAACGTACTGAAAGTATATACGGTATGTACACATTAGATATGTAATTCTCGACTGTAGTTCCCGACTTTCAGTAGAAAGAAAGACGACTTTCATTTCCTTGTGTATACAGTATATCATAATTTCTCTTCGTACGTATAATAAAGATACTCATGTAGTTTCTGTGTTTTTCTTTACTATACCTTTCGCTAACGATTCTTGGTCGAAATGTAATACGGAATTGTCGTATAGGATGGTATATTCTATAAATTAATTACTTTTCAAATTATCTTTGTCATCAAATATTATTTCTATAATATGAGTTATTTTTTATGAAAAGATACAAGAAATCTCGTCATAAATGTAACTGTAATAAACATTTCATTCATTTACACTAAAAATAAGTTATTGATTTTGTTCCAGATATAAACGAATGTTCCCCCTCACCTTGTCAAAATGGTGCGACATGTGTAGACCGGATCGATGGTTATCGTTGTCAGTGTTGTCCAGGATACTCAGGTGTTAATTGTCATATAGGTAAATGTTCACCATTCTAAACTATGAATTAAAGGCTAAAGTAGTTAACCGATGTTTAAATCTCATAAATCCATTACGAGGATACAAATAACGGATAAACACAAAAACTGTGTAAATCAAATGAACTCCGATTGGAGTGAGACCGGGTACGTCGAAAGGTTTACTGTCTACTTCTATGCATGCATAACTTACATTGTGAACCAACACTCAATCAAAATGTGACAATCGACAATAGGATACTATTGTCGCTAGCGAGTTGTCGCCAGTAAGTTGAGACATAGACACTATAAATTCGTAATGGTAACAGTAAACTTATAAATTGTCGATTTCTGTGCTGACAGGACATCATCGATATATCTGAAAGTGAAATTAAAGAACTTTGCAAACTTTTTTTTCTTTTTATCTTTAATATGGCTCTGAATGAATTCGTATCCAAGTGAGCACAAGAACAAGTCGACCAATAAGGTTGCAAAGTTAGTATCCATTGGAATACTGACTGTCTATTTAATTATCAATCCACCAAACTCATCAAATGTGTTGTCGATATCTGAAAGTAAAATTAAAAAACTTTGCAAACTTTATTTTTCTTTTTATCTTTAATATGGCTCTGAATGAATTCTGATCCAAGTGAGCACAAGAACGATAGACCAATAAGGTTGCAAAGTTAGTATCCATTGGAATACTGACTGTCTATTTAAATATCAATCCACCAAACTCATCAAATATGTTGTCGATAACAAAGCATGTTGATGATATCATTTTCGATGTATTTGTTTTGGAGTCATTGAGGTTCTTCACAAAATAAGATATCTTATGACCTAATTTGGATCTTTATTTACAATTTTGTAGTACAATTTTCAATTTACGATGAAGAATATTAGTGTAGAGCGTAGAAAAAAAATAGTGCCTTCATTAATGTACATATGCATATGAACAACGTAGGAAAAGTTGACCTTGTATGAATTTGACTTTTTCTTAGTTCCTGTTTTGGCCATGAAGCTCTTCATGCTTTTTTGGTCTTCTACATCTTACCTTTAAGATTTTTGAGTTCGTGTGTTCCCTATGAAGATTAATTCATTAAAGCGCTTCGGAAGCACAACATTAATAAAGTATTATTTTCATGTACAATGCATTGTTTTTTATTACGTAAATAAGCATTTTTAACATTTATAGATAAGTATTCCATTTACCAGAATATATCTGGATAATACGGTGTTATTTCAGAAGTATTTAAATGCTGTACCACTTTATGTTAGAGTACTAAATGCCCATAAGTGTTCCTGAGAGTGATTATCTTATGAATTGCTACCTTAGCTATTGATGCAGTCAAATTTGCTTTCAGTCAATCCTTTTCATTAGCTTTTCAGATAATTCAGTATGTTTTAACTGTACAGGTAAATAACAACTACCGAATAGTCTGAACATAGACTGAACAGTTGTTATTGACGGTAAGCGAATTGTCTGAACAGTACTGAATTTAAAGTAGCAAGTCTGAAAATTGACTGATAAACAGAAAATAACTACAAATTTTGTTGTGAAGATCCAAATTACCGTTTCAGACTAAACTAAATTTCGTTTACTAGTTCTCATACGTGAATTAAAAATGCATCACTCTAACTTTATTATTTTGTTAATTATGAATAGCACTTATTTTGTCTTTAGTAAATTTTCAAAAAATTGGAATGCAGAAAGTTTTTAAAGTTGTCGGAAAATTACCAGTAATATCCGAAAATGCTTTGTTAAACTGTCCGACTGTTTCTGTTGCAAATATTCAGATTGTTTTGTAGATGTAGATGAATGTGCCTCTATGCCTTGTTCCAATAATGGCAAATGTCAAGATGATGCAAACTCCTACCAATGTGTTTGTCTGCGTGGATACAGTGGACCTACTTGCGAAAAAAAAGGTAAAAAGTTAAATTTTCTTACAATTATGTCTTATTCATTGAAGTAATTTCAACGATATTTTTCAATTAAGAATTGCGTCTGGTTCCGTTCTTTTTAGTGCAAGAACATTTCAAATTTCTTCGACATTTTGAATTGCAATTGAAATATTAGATCTCTTTTCAATTTGAAAAAAAAATAAACTTTGTTTGCAGGAAAATATTCGAACTCTTTTTATATGAGGCAATTTAAAATGCGAGGGCCTTAACACATGTTATTTTGCTCTATTTATGATTCCAGAAAAATGTTTTGTGAATTAGTTTGTTTGCCTTATCTGCTATGACCACATAGTGCTGTCTGTTTATTTTATATTTGCCTCATTTGCATTATCTTGTTTCTGTTCATGGAAATACATATCATGTAAGAGAAGAATTGCGAAAGTGAACTTTGACATGAATCGTTATACTCTATAGACTAATAACTTTCATATCATTTTGGATTGTGAATATTTTGCAGATGGGCCAAATTCAGTTGAATGTGGAACACCATATTGGAAACCAACGTTAATTCAAACGAGAATAGTTGGTGGAAATCGTGCCAAAAACTACTCCTGGCCATGGATAGTACAGCTACGACTAAATGAAAAACATGAATGTGGTGGAGCAATTATTGCTCCTAATTGGATTGTTACCGCCAAACATTGTTTTCTACTGTATGTACATCTAATAAGATTCAGTTTTACTTCATATTGGAATGTCGTGTAATGTTGCGTCAGTGCCAGTGAAGTCCCATACTTGATGTACAAGCATTTACTTAGAGTTTATCGATAAATATCAAATAATAGAATATTTGAAAACTTCATAGAAATTTACGATCAAATTAAAAAGAACTGTAAAACAGGTGCGGAAGATACCAGAGGAACATTCAAATTCATAAATCGAAAATAAACTGACAACGCCATGGCTAAAAAAGAAAAAGACAAACAGACAAACAATAGTACAAAAAAAACACAACATATAAAACTAAATACTAAGCAACACGAACCCCACCAAAAAATAGGGATGATCTCAGGTGCTCCGGAAGGGTAAGCAGATCCTGCTCCATATGTGGCATCCGTCGTCTTGCTCATGTTAGTACAAACCCGGTAATTAGTATAATTCGGTAGGTCACATTCGTGAAAAGGGAACGGGATTGTAGTTACGACATATAGGATCATATCCGCTATCATCTGTGAAACGGATATTCCATAACAGTCAACCAACTCGTGATGGCGTCCGTAAAATTTACAAAGGGATGATTTCAACTTCACCATTAAGAGCTCTTGGTTTAATAACTTCCTTGTGAGCAGCAAGGAAATCATGATAGGAAATACAAGCCCAGGAATATCGTATCAATTGGGAGACAATTGTAAACAAGGTTACAGCATGCACGAAAACTTAGACATATGATTTATTTTTACTCTTTATATTCTGGATATTAGATATGTTTACAAATTAGCAGCAACAACAAATTGATGAAAAGTTAAAAACAAAGTATGAAAATAAAACATTCAAGAAAGAAAGTCGCCTAAACATGATGATCTTGGTCTCCTTAAATTTTGATGAGCATTTCATAAATTATTTTTATTTGTACTTTTTATCATAATTCTAGAGTTAATGATGCAACAAAATGGACAATTTATGCTGGTAAGACCCACAAGTCTTTACAAGAACCATCAACACAACAAAAACGAAAAGCTGTCAAAATCGTCGACGCAAAAAGTCCTGACCACATTCTTCACAAGGACATCAGCTTGGTAAAAGTTGATAAGCCATTCAATTATAATAATTATGTACGACCAATATGTCTGCCAACAAAAGATGTCAAAGTCGGAGATATATGTTTCGTCAAAGGTTGGGGAGAGACACAAGGTACATTTATACATTAGTTGCATAGAAGTGTTCATTATTTTTCGCAAAAGCAATGGGAATAAAACCATTACTCAACATAATACAAATACTGCCTTCGGAATTAACAATGCAGTCCTAATTGCGTTGCAAATCGGTAATAATAAAAATACATTGTAATGCAATATTTTATTCTGTTCTTTCATACTAGCTAAAATGCGAACTATGTTTTCGATGATCATGTTTTCCTATCTTAATTATCATTAGTGTAAAGATGATATTTTTGTTAATGTCGTTGTACTAGAGTATCAAATTCAATATGTTAATAGGTACTGGCCATGAAAATGTACTGAAAAACACAAAATTACCAATTAAGGATACAAAGAAATGTAATACAACCATCAATCCAACGTTGGCTGGACAAATAACAGAAAACATGTTTTGTGCTGGTTTTCAGGGTGGCGGACATGACGCTTGTCAGGCAGGTAGATTTAAAGAAATTTTCCTTCTGTTCAAGTGTTCATTTTATTTCATTGACCAGAAAGTATATTTAAATGTCAAAGAAAAGTATGACTGAAAAAAAAAACCAAACATACTGAAAAGAAATAGGCGAATCAAAACAATTTCCATAACCGTTTACGCAGAAAAAACAGTAGTTGTCATACAAGCGGGCGATTATGCTAGCTGTAAAACCAGGTTTAACCCACCATTTTCCTCGGAAAATGCCTGTACCAGGTCAGGAATATGACATTTGTATTTCACTCGTTTTGTTGATTGATAACGTTTGATTTTGTTAGTTTTTATGGACGTCCCCTTTTTAAAATTATTTTGGAATTCGGTATTTTTGTTTTACATATTTACTTGATCTTTGCATAGACTTTTTATGTTTTGCGTATTTCTGACATTAGAAATATATTCAATTTATAGGGTGATAGTGGAGGACCATTTGACTGCATCCATTCCAACAAATGGTACCTTTCTGGAATTGTTTCTTGGGGTATAGGCTGTGCAGGTATGTAAAGCTTTATAGCAATAGTAATAAAACAATCTATATAAAAATAAAGATATGTGATATGCTTGCCAATGAGACAACTACCCACAACAGTTCAAATGAAGAGGATGTAAGCAATTGTAATCCATTTAAAAGCTTTATGATATTTGTAATTTAAATATTTAAATATACCAACTTTTAACAAAAGTTCTGACATTGTCTGAAGTTAATGTTATTGCATTTTTACAATAGAGGCGGCATGATGAGAGTCACTATAAGGTCACAGAAACAGAATTCTGCAAAATTCATTAATGAATATATAAATACGATGCTGTAATCTGGACAATTACTTCAGTGCAGACATGTCAGCTGTGTTTTTATTACGTTTTACCTTTAAAAAAAGTACCATCTGATGCATAGTTTCTGACGGAATTAGATATGAGCCGAAGCCTTACCAAAAAGTAATAGTTTACCAATAACATATTTTTGTATAGGACTGTTTGTAGCAAAACATATTTTGTGTAAAACTCTATATCATATCTTAAAATTTATTATTTTATCTCAAAATGCCGCTGTTTTTCATCTTTTCATTAAATTAAAGACAGACATTTTAATTCAGAAAGAAAATGCATTGTAAATAATAGCATATCTAGACATGGTGTTACTTACCGTTTATATAACTTGATTAATTAAACTCTATGTTTAATTTCTATTTCAGAGAAAAATATGCCTGGTGTGTTTGTTAATGTGATTAAATTTGTAACATGGATCACCAGTACCATAGCATTAGATTGATTTAGGTTTTCAATACAAAAAAACCTACATTTAGATATTAGTATCTAAGCAAAATTTTCAACTCGCATTGTTTGGTGATTTTTACTAACATTCATAAATAACCTTTTAGAAATCGAAGTATATGTGAGGAATATACTGTTTACCATGAAAAACCAGTAAGGATCATTTAAGATTCGTAATTAAATCATCAAATAGGAATATGGAGATTCTAATTTCGTTCTCTTTCAGAACCCAAATCTGAGTATGCAATTAAATTTTCAACATTCAGTATCAAAACTAATATAACCTTTACTTCTAATAATATCTATTATACATGAATTGAGGTAAATATGGAGACAACTTTTGTTTTAGTTTCTTTATTGTTATACTCTTTATAAAGATAAGGAGATGTGGTGTGTTTTTCAATGAGACAACTATCGACCCTAGTCCAAATAACGTGGATGTAAGCAACTATTGGTGATGGCCTTAACAATGAGCAAAATTCATGAAAGCCATACCGTATAGTCAGCTATAACATGACATGACAAATTGTGAAACAATTAAACAAAATGGCCAAACTACCTGATTAATGACAAAACAATAAACGAAAAACAAAATGACAGACAGTAACCAACGACAATCCCTGAATTACAAGATCCTGACATTGGACAGGTACATACAGAATTTTGCAGGGTTAAACATGTTGTGAGTGCTCAGTCCCCTTCCCGTACTTTTCATTTATATTTTTTATATATTAATGCTCTGAATTCGAACGTTATGAGTTCGTGCCGATCTAATGCAACCTTGCAGATCAAAGGGACAGTGTTGGTCCCCCTCTTCGCGGTAACTAGTTTCGAAATTCCGTAAACAAATAAAGAAAACATACTGGAAATCCCTTTTTATTGTAAAACCCAAGGAACCAATTCTTCTTTTTTCAAAAAGCTGCCATCCATATTTTATTGTTTATTTTATCATATAAAACAATATTTGAAGATGGTTGACCGAACTTATAAAACTACTATTGGTTGTCACTTCAATTCCAGGCATTTCAAATCTATAGGCTGTTACCCCACTCTCCCAGGTCAGGTAAGGGTTCTGCGTCCGCAAACATATTTAACCCCGCCACATTCGGCATGTGCCCTTTTCAAGTCAGGAGCTTATAATACAATTGTTGTCGTTTGCTGATGTATATCATTTTTGTTTGTTTATTGTTTTCTTCATAAATCAGGCCATCAGTTTCCTCGATATAATTGTTTTACATTATGCATATTGGGACCTTTTATAGCTAGCTATGCGGTATGTTTTTTTTTCTTGTTGAAGGCCGTACGGTGACATATAGCTGCTAACTTCAACATCATTTATTCTGTGGTGGAAAGTTGTCTCATTGATAGTGGTATCACATCTTATTTTTATATTTAGACCTATACACATATAAGTGTTACAAGACATTTCAATTTAAAAACTTTAAAAGGCTTTCTTCCAAATTCTACCGTTAGATATTGAATTTCGAATTTCGATATTGCATTTCAAATCAAGAAATCCTAAATTATACATAAAATTAAATATAACTTTGAAAAAATCCATTCCTATTAAACTTCGAATCTGAAATGATACCTGTGGTCTTTCGTAATAAGGTCTGTGCCAAAAAACTTTATCATAGGAAATAAGATTTTCATATCGTTCAAATACAAAACCAAACATATTTTTATTCCCTTGTATGGACAGATGCTGGAGATGACTTGTTTGATGAAGGAAGACCAATGTTTTTTTTACATCATATCGTATCGATTGTTCGCCCAAAACAATTAGGTAAAACGATCAAACTAAAATAATGGAATTATGGTGGATTTTTAATACAATAAATAACTTTTTTACTATCTTAGTATATTTGGTTTTATATGTTTAGTACAACATAAATGTCCCCGAATGCAGTAGAAAAAGAAGGAGTATTTCCCTATTGGTTTCAATCAAATGTTCAAGACGACTTGAAATTTCTTGAAACATTCTTGGAATTGAATATTAAAGGTTTACTGTAAAAGAGAGGCGAAAGATACCAATGAGACATCCAGACTCATATGTCGAAAACAAACTGACAATGCCATGGTAAAAATCGAAAAACAACAAAAGGATAAACAACAGTACACACAACACAACATAGAAAGCTAAAGACTGGGCAACACGAACCCCACCAAACACGGGGGGTGATCTCAAGTGATCCAGAAGGGTATGCAGATCCTGCTCCATATATGACACCCGTCGTGTTTCTCCTATAAAAAATGAGGTCAAGGACAATCGACATATAATGGACGTAAACTTCCTGAAATAAGGTATCTGTATACTAGGAATGAAACATTCAGATCTTCTACCTTCTGAAATATAAACCTTTATACAAATAGTTTATGCCCCGGCCTGAAAGTAATCCTTATGACTAGTATTGAGCTACTGAGAAGAGATAAAAACGAACAGCACTTTAGTACAAAGTCCAGACCCTCGTCAGTGTAGTCTTATGTTATACCTAAGTGTTATTTGGAGAATTTGGCATTGACTATTTTTGATAGTTTCTGTTTTATTTAATCACCACTTCTTTATAATCTGGACAAATTACACCTAAGATATATTGTACAGACACTTCTTTATAATCTGGAAATTACACCTAAGATATATTGTACAGACACTTCTTTGTCGAAGACTGTATGTATCCATATATACATATTTTAGTTGTATGTGGAGTTGCTGTATACCCCACTTCATATAATTAATATAACCAATCATTAGAACAATTATGAAAGCAAACCTAACAATAGTGACTAGAAGTTTTAATTTTTGCTCCTTTGTAACATTCATAGTTAATTATAATTAAACATTTAAAAATGTATAAAAAATATCAAAATATAAATCAATTATCACAGTACTATCATTGCACTTAGCCCTTGGTTTAAATCACATTACAGTTACACCTGTCTTTCACATATTCAACAAAAAACATTCAAACCCTCTGTTTAACAACAATCAGATTTTAGCTTTGTTTTTTTATTATCCATTTCAAATGAGTCTTCAAAGGTGTTTTGATTTTGTTGATTAAACAAGCTTATATGTTCATTTGGTTGTTGACTCTCTGTTGGAAGTTTCAGGATATAGTCAATGAGGAAATTCATAGCATCATCTAAAAAATTAAATAGAAATATTATACAAGACATGGAAAAGGTTTCAAAAGATATAGATTGTGTATAGTTCTCATAAACATTACTTATATTTTTATCTTTCAATGTAACCAAAATGTTAAAAACTCATAATATCTTTTTTTCATGAAAGAATACACACTTTTTCACTTGTAGTGTCAATGTCTGAGTAAAACCAAAACTGGTAGATTTTTAAAAATCTTTGCCAAAATGAAGTTTAAATAGTTTATTTTTCAAATTATAAGAAAAATTAAAGTAAGAATTCTTGTTTTCAAGCTACATGCTGATAAAAAGTTGCATAGTATTAAGCACTTCTAGAAGAAAAAATAAGTGATCAAGTTTTGATGTAAAACATGAGAAGACAGTTCCCAACTTTTTAGTAAAAATTACCATTAAAGGGGAATAACTCTATTAAAAGTAAACTGACAATTTCAGTCATATTGGCATATTTGTAGATCTTATCCTGCTGATAATTTTTCCTGTTTAAAGTTTCTATTTATCTATTATAGTTTTCAAGATAATAGGCAAAAAACTCTAAAAATTATCCTTAAAGCGCAATAACTCCAATTATGAGTCAACTGAAGATTTCGTCCAGTTTGGCTTGTTTGTGGATCTTGTCTTGCTGATCATTTGTGCTATTTAAAGTTTCTATCTATCTATTACAGTTTTCAAGATAAAAGGCAACAAGAGTGCACACGCTGAAATGTCTCGCCTTCTTTACTAATCATTGATATTATGTTGATAGTCCTAAATATAAAGCTTTATTAAAACTGTCACATAAACTTAACATTAACCAAGAAAACTAAACATTGACCAATGAACCATGAAAATGAGGTCAAGGTCAGATGAACCGTGCCAGGCAGACATGTACAGTTAACAAATCTTCCATAAAACAAATATAGTTGACCTATTGCTTATAGTTTAAGAAAAACAGACCAAAACACAAAAACTTAACCCTGAGCAATGAACCGTGAAAATGAGGTCAAGGTCATATAAAACCTGCGAGACTGACATATAGATCATAAAATATTTCCATACACCAAATATAGTTGACCTATGGCATATAGTATTAGAAAAAAAGACCAAAACTCAAAAACTTAACTTTGAACACTGAACCATGAAAACGAGGTCAAGGTCAGATGACACCTGCCAGCTAGACATGTACACCTTACAATCATTCCATACACCAAATATAGTAGACCTATTGCATACAGTATAAGAAAATTCGTAAGGGTTCCGCAGAACCCAGTGTCTCGCCTACTTTTGCTGTTAATCGCAGGCTCAACAAAAATGTGGAAAAAAATTAATAAGAATATTCCTCTCTATACTATCTTTTGATTGTAAGTAGCTTCTGTCCAAGTTTGGTAAAAATCCAGGATAATTTATGAATCTAATAAATGTTTTAAATACTTAAACTGCAGACTGTATGTAATGTTGACTGGAAGAAAAACTAAGTTCATTTATAAGTAAAATACGGAAAAAATGGAACAAAATTTTATCAAAATTTCCTTCTAGATACTAGCTTTTGATCATAAACAAGCTTCTGTCCAAGTGTGGTACAAATCCAGGATAGTTTAAGAAAGTTGTTAAAATTTTAAAAACTTTAACCACAGAGTGAATGTAATGTTAACTGGCAGAAAAACTAAGTCCATTTATAAGTAAAATACGGAAAAAATGGATTTTTTTTTTTACAAAATTTACTTCTGGATACTATCTTATGATCATAAACAAGCTTCTTTCCAAGTTTGGTAGAAATCCAGGATAGCTTAAGAAAGTTATTAAAATTTAAAAAAACTTTAACCACAGAGTGAATTTAATGTTTCCTGGCAGAAAAACTAAGTCCATTTATAAGTAAAATACGGAAAAAATGGAATTTTTTTTTTACAAAATTTACTTTTGATTATAATCTTATGATCATAAACAAGCTTCTGTCCAAGTTTGGTAGAAATCCAGGATAGTTTAAGAAAGTTATTAAAATTTCAAAAACTTTAACCACAGAGTGAATATTTGTGGACGCCGCCAACGACAACGACGACGACGACGTCGACGGAATGTAGGATCGCTATGTCTCGCTTTTTCGACAAAAGTCGAAGGCTCGACAAAAAACAGACCAAAACACAAAAACTTAACTATAACCACTGAACCATGAAAATGAGGTCAAGGTCAGATGACACCTTACAGTCCTTCCATACACCGAATATAATAGACCTATTGCTTATAGTATCTGAGATATGGACTTGACCACCAAAACTTAACCTTGTTCACTGATCCATGAAATGAGGTCGAGGTCAAGTGAAAACTGTCTGACGGGCATGAGGACCTTGCAAGGTACGCACATACCAAATATAGTTATCCTACTACTTATAATAAGAGAGAATTAAACATTACAAAAAATGTTAACTTTTTTTCAAGTAGTCACTGAACCATGAAAATGAGGTCAAGGACATTGGACATGTGACTGACGGAAACTTCGTAACATGAGGCATCCATATACAAAGTATGAAGCATCCAGGTCTTCCACCTTCTAAAATATAAAGCTTTTAAGAAGTTAGCTAACACCGCCGCCGCCCCCGGATTACTATCCCTATGTCGAGCTTTCTGCGACAAAAGTTGCAGGCTCGACAAAAATGGGAAAAATCTTCATTAAAGGGCAATAACTTAAATAAGTATTCAACTAACAATTTCTGTCATGTTTGACTTATTTGTAGATCTTGTCTTGCTGATCATTTTTGCTATTTAAAGTTTCTATCTATCTAATATAATTTTCGAGATGAAAGGCAAAAATTTTTAAAAAATGGTAAAATTCATCAACTAAGGGCAATGACTCCTACAAGAAGTCGTCTTACAATTTTGACATAAATAAACAATAGGTAGAGCTTATCATTCTGATATTAGCAAAAACGCAAAAAAATGTCAAAAAGGTAATTGTGACATCAATGAAATGGGAATTCCTATATTAAGCTGTTGAAATTTGACAGGATAAAAGTCTTATCAATAGGCTATATCAGAGGTAAATATGGATCGTTAGACTTGTTTAAATAATTAGGTCCAGTTATCTATATGTTGTGTACAAGTTGTAATTTCGTACAAATAATAATTTGTACAGGGTTTTTGTACAAGTTATCAGTATTTTGACACACACCTTCTTTCTCCAGGTGATACAAGTTTATCTTCAATACATGGTCTACTAAGTTAGTAGTCATGCAGCTATGTACTTTTAAATAGACATTTGTAAAGCCTATAAAATATAATTACTAGCAAATCACAAAACTATTAACATCATGCTATAATTCTAAACCATATACAATGACATAAGGTACTGAACATTCTACAACAGCTTCCTCGAAAATACATTTAATAACAAACATGCATCTATACATGGGGTTCACACTTTTATATAAATCTACACTTGGCAAAAAACAAACCTCAAGAGTTAGCTCTCTTACACTGAAAAAAAAAATTACAAAGAAAATAGGTTTCTCATTTATATCTGATTTGAATTTTAAACTTAGATTTTGTTTAAGGTAACTATTGTTAACGAAAAGGAATTAAAAATTAAACTTGAAATTAAGTTCATGATTAAGTAGTAATATTATCATTCAGAAACTTTATTTTTCAGATTGATTGACAGACAGATAATGTAGTGACAGTATTCAACAAAAAAATTAATTTCAAAGGAGTAAAAAAGCTGAGTCAGG